TATATACAGTTACTCACATTATTATAACTATAATATGTAGGAAGACGACTTATATCTATTCAACTCTTTGGTTGTGGATTGTTAAGTAGTGATTTTGGTTAGGTGTTTTAGTGGATCACCAATGAAGTGGTGTTTTGAGGGTACTGATTTCATCGACCCCAAGATCTACACGTGGTCCTGTGCTACATTTACTACTTATTTTCACCCATATTTGGGTTGTCTGTCCTAATATATGAATAATTTTAATGCTAGCACGAATTCATCAATACTTGACTGAATTAAAATTGCTAATTCAAGTTTGGTGTGTAAAATTTCCATTTTAACCCAAATGCCTGGCCTTTTAATTCTGTACAGTAGTTTCAGCCCAAGTTTGAAAGGGGAGGGAAGAAATTTACAGTACCAGTATTATTATTAGTATTATCCTCTTGGGGTCATACCATATATATATTATATTCTTTTACCTATTCCATCTCTAGTTACTATCACCTGCTGTTGGGTAGATTGAGGAAAATACTGCAGAGGGTACTTCTTAAAACTTTACCTTTTCCGTCTTGGATTGATACAAATTCACTCTTTTACTCTTTTCTTCAAATTGGAGGAGGACCAAAGCCCTCCACATTTTTCAATATCCTTTGAAAGTTTCATTTTAGTTTCAACTTTCTTATATTCAGTATTCAAATATAAAAAAGTATCTTTGGCTGTTAATGATAACGTTGGTCACTCTCGTACTACCAGAACTAGTCAAACAATTGACGGCAGTTGTCTGTTTACATCAGTTACATTAAAAATCCAGAGTTAATTGCCCCTGGCTTCTGGCTCTTTGGGTGAATTTTTTTGGAAATCTTACGAAGTGAACTGGGGTAGTGTAGTAAAGTTTGATTTTCTCCTACAAAACTGATCGTTTTGAACAAAATTGACATTTCTAGTTAGTTAAATGATATGTATCTATCAATATAACTTGCTCCAGGAGCGTTTTCCATCGTTGGTCAACAAAATTAAGAAGATGAAATATTTATTTTACCATAACTTTTTTAAAAAGCGTCGTAAAACTGCGGGTGGGTTTTTATCTCTTCAGCGTCCAATTCTACTACAGTATTACGTGATTTCTGCAGCCAGTTACAAAGATAAGCAATGGAAAATTCCTCTCGAATAAACTGTCCGAAACGCGCTACACTCCAAATTTGCCAATATTTGCGTGCCACACGTTGTGGCAGAGCGCGTAGCGACCCTTGTAGTTTTAACTCAAAAATCTGTAATGTTACGCATTTCTCTCCCTATTGAAACTAACATGGAAACAAAAAACACACATAGATCTCTCGTTTTATATTGGTTTTATAATAATGCTAGGCCAAGAACTAATAAAGTTATGAGCTGAGACTGAGGAAAAACCGGGATTTTCGCATAAACCGCACTCGCCTGGCAAGCGTGAAACCCCCTACGGTACTGAAAGATGTCTTGTTTGAATTTGAAGTATTTGAAGTCCCCCCCCACCCCAATCTTCAGCTTTTTGTATTCTGTAAATCTGAAGGGAACTGAACTTCCTTTTCCAAGGTGACCTGTATTATAGCAATCATGAGACATCATGGCAATAAGATATTGTCACATAAATTTTGTTATTCCCGGATTCGACTGCCGTATGTAACCTGGTAGCAATGATATCCAGAGTGAAGAGTGAGTTAAACTTAAACTTTAATTGTGACCTTACTTGGTCATTCAGGCAATGTGTGGCATTAAAAAGGTAAAGTGCTTATTGAGGCCAAATGTGGCCTAATTTATAAAGTTGGGTGTGTGCGTATGTGTGTGTGTGTGGTATTTTGGCAATATGTGGCCTAAGTAAGCATTCCGTAACTTTAAAAATATGTTTGTGCGTCCCAGGTTGCCTGAGTATAGCCGGTTGTCTAGTAGTCCTGAGTCCTCTGATCACCGCCACCTTCAGCCAGCAGCTCCTGCTGTCCGGTGTGTTTGGGCTGTACACCGGGTCCCTCGTGCCTCTGTCTTCTCTCATCACGATCGAACTACTGGGGATTGAGGAACTTGGCCTGGGCTACGGATTTCTTTCTCTTTTTCAAGGTGTTGGATATTTGATTGGACCACCTTTGGCTGGTGAGTAGTGATTTAAAAAAAATATTTTTCATTTTTACATGAAAGGGCTGTTTTAGTGAGGTTGATTTTCAAATTATTCAATCGGCTTTAATTTTTTTAATGCTCTCTTCTGATGAGAATCTCGAACCATACCAAAGATTTTACCATTTTCCATTTGTTCTTTATTGTTTCGGTATCCGGTACTTCACCTATCGTTGCCAACATGCATGACTTGATCTAAATCTAAAATATCAGATTTCACAGCAAGAAAAAAAAAAGATGTTTCTGAGTGAAAGCTCTTTCCTCTTTTTCTTTCTATGAAGGTTAATAGGCTACATGTTGTTTTTACTATTTTCTGTTTCACATTTTAACTCACACAAGTTAACTTTTTAGCTGGTTTTATTTTGTTTACTTTAAAATTTGTTTGAGTCTTCTTGAAGCAGATTTTGTGTTAGTGTTAACAGAGCAGAGTGCTAATGAAAATTCAGATCAGATGCACGGCCCTGTGTAGCCCATTTTTAGTCATTATTAATTAACGTGTGCAGAGCTGCCAAGTGTGGGAAATTGAGAAAAAAAAAATGAACATAATTTCCAACCGCAGATGGATGCCTTGACCATTAGATTTTTTGGCGCTGTCATAATAAGTAATGATCAGTATTGTACCATTACCATACAGCTACGAGTAACTGACCATATACTCTCTTACAAATTATAGACTGGCTTCAGTAACCTTATTTATATAATAAACTGATAGTAGTATGATATTCTGTAAAAAATTGTTTAACTCTGGAGTTGGGGAATAGGGTGAGAGGGGCATTCGTAGTTAAATGCTTTTCTTAAAAAGAATAAAATGAGCAATAGCAATCTACTAACTAGGCCTACTTGTTATGCTGCTTGTTATGTTTTTTTGCTTTTTCCTTGATAAAGCTGTTTTCATTTCTTTCTTTTTCAGGCATAATTGTTGCGGCAATTGGATACGAAAAGGCATTTATATTTTCAGGTCAGAATAGTCAGATGTTACATTATTTTGATATTTATTTAGTGGCATTTTCTTTCCTGTGTCGTTCTTGTTATGCAAATCTGTCAAGTTTTTCACTCCATATAGGCAATGCCAGTCTGATGAAGGTGTATTGTAAAAGCATGATTTGACTAGCCCTGAAGTTAATTGGTGAGTGGTTAGCGGGTGCTCTGGTTTGGTTTGCTCCTCCTTTCCCATCAAAGATCTACATACATGTATCGTCTTTTAAATATCTCCGTATTTTTTGTGTTTGTTCCTCTTTAGTAAATTCCTAATCTTCGACACTTTTTGTTGGAAATAGCAACATAGTAGCATGTCATGAAAATGTAAAGCATTGTCTCAGGTACAAGTGGACTGTGTCTACAACAAGTACATTGTGATTTCACTTGAATTCTGGACCCTCTTTGACTTTGTTTCAAATGAAAATGGTTTAGGTTTAACGACCCTATCAACACTATATAAGGTCATTTTTAAGAGGTGGTACTGGTATCTCCGAGTTTAACATTCATCTCCAAAAGGACCGATCTAAATGGGAAATTAGTGCAAAGTGCCCTAGTTCCCCAGGACACAATGTTGGAATGAGCTGAGGCTCGAGCCCTGAAGCCGCACTCTCAAGATTACGGGTTTGGTAGCCTAACCACTGGGCTTACAGACACCACCTCTCTCAAGTGAATCATAAAGTCCTTTATTATTTATATTTTCTGTGTGCTCTGTTGTGTATAATTCAGTTCCTGTCTATTCTAGAAAGCTTTCAATATTTGGTCTCTTCAGTCGGGCCCTTGCTTTGCTGCATTCGCTTGTTTGTTCATATAACAATTTCTCCAACTTCTAGCTAGAGGATTAATAGTTTCTTGTCTTACGACGTACATATAATTTTGGTGGTTAATCTTTGTAGATCTGCATGTAGCTAGAGGGATGTGACATTTAGCACTATATTCCTTTCAACACTTTTGATGTTATGTAAAATATAAGAGACAGACACTTTTGGTGTAGCAGCTAGATTCTTGTACGGAAAGGCTTTTTTAAAATCAAGTAGGCTATCTCTGTCTCAACTGTCTGTCAAATTGGATGTCTTGGATTGGGTTGGCCTGCCTCCTCAAAAGTGTCAATAGGGGTGTAAAACACTTACAAATGCAAAAATAACAAAGAGTAGCACCCACTGTTAAAAAATTTCTCATCTAACTAAAGCAAGATGTTATTTGTAAAGCACTAACCTAACCATTTGGGCCCTGACCATCTGATTCTAATTCGAGGAGTTGAAATTGTTCAAGCAACCACCCATTGTCAAAGAGAAAAGTGATTGTCTTAACTTAGAGAGTAGCACTAGCAGGCGGACATCTTGGACTGTATCAATACAAACATAAATATATAGGCCTATATAATTTTTAATACACAAGGGAGGAAATGGGCACTGGTTGTTTGCAATTGTCTTGGAGAGGCTGCTGTTGGAGCAGGTTTAACTGTCCTATCAAAGCCCTTACCAGCTCAAAAAACTGGTGTCTGTGGTTCAGTGATTGGGCAAGAAGCCATTGGCCTCAATCAAATGACATGAGTTCGGTGCCCTCTTGGGGAAGCTATTTCACCGAGTATGCCAGTCTTTCTTTGGGGATGCTGTACTGTATCCCGCTTGGCCTGGGCCAGGCCTGATGACGACAGGCAGTGTCGAAGGACCTCCCCCCCCCCCCCAGGATCTAGATCAGGGGTTTCATATAAAAATAACCTGGGGGTCACTGGAGGAAGAGTCTGGGTGAGCCTAGGCCGCAACAAATGTTCCGCACAAAGGAAGATTTCATTTTCAAGTACAGTCCGTGCCGGCTATAAGCACGCCGGCTTAAAGCACGTTTCGGACTTAAGCACGCTAAACGGCTCTTACTGAATTTTTGCTATATAAATTACACGCCTTTAAGTACGGTAACTTCGGCTTTAGGCACACTTCATTACAAGACAGTCAATACTTTCACGATGACCCATCGAAGTTCGAACACGGTCTACACTGCAGCAGTGGAGTGTGTTAAGAGAAACACAGAGAACGCAAGTGATGCCAGTGATGGAGACACACTCACACGGGCGGAGAGGAAGGCACAGAGATGCACACAGCCGCGCGCGGGGACATAGGATCTAGCCTAGGGCAAAGTTACACACAGACTTAAAAATTCAAAGAGAGTCGGGGAGACGAGAAAGGGCGGTTGGCTGCAATTTCACCTTTGACCCTCGCTATCCATTAATCCTGATTGTGTATCTCGCGCGAGGTGGGATGAAGGAGGTGGTATGAATGTTGCACAGCGGGCAGTGGTACGCACAGGCAGCGTGTAGGCCTAGTGTGCTGTATCGTGACTGGCCGTCTAAATTAAGTTTTCATTTCCCATTCGACCACAAAACAAAAACAAACAAGCAAACAAAAACTACCATGGCGGGTAAAAATACTTACAAACAAAGGGAAATAGCACGGGAAATTTTCTACCTGAAAATCTCTGGATTATGTCTACTTCGCACTCAAGCACGCTTCGGATTTAAGCACGCTTATGCTTTCTCCCGATGACCGTGCTTAAAGCCGGCATGGACTGTATTTGTGAGGCGTGCTGATAAAATAAGTTACTTTTTGGATTCCAGTTCTAGTTTTAGCCGTATGGACGAAAGATAGGTCAAATTTATAGGTTGAGCTAGTACACTTTATTAGTACGGAAAGGTAACAACAGACATGTTAAACTTAAAGTTGAAGAAAATGGTATTGGTTGAAAGTCTAGAAACTTTACGCTTGTCTCGATTTTAGGCCAATATCATCGTTTGCAGAGTGTGAGTTGTAACTCAGTTTGGAAGAACGACACATTAAAAAAAAATTACAAAGATCTCATCTTCTCAATTTTTATTAACTGCAGTTCAGAACATCAACCTCTGCAAAAAGTGCAAGTGAGGAAGACTTGCAAATCGTACTAACTCTAAACTTTGATATCCAAGTAGGGGTTGCAAAATCTTGTCCCGCAAGCCTAAATTGGCCCACAGGCTATGAGTTTGAGATCCCTGATCTAAATTGTTGTGTCAGTAGGGGTATAGAAAGTGTTACCGTTCATTTATTATATCCAGCTCATATAGTTACGATGTTAGGTCTGTCAGCAGATGCTTTGATTGAGTAAGAATGCTGACATGAAGAACAGAGCTTAACCGATTAAAAAGTCTCCAAACAGGATAGACCAAGAATTGTGTTTTAGTTTTGTCTTGCAAACTAAGGTCATCATAAACCAACAAGCATAACTCAAAACTCCCTTGCAACTTGTTAAAAATTATGAATAATGTAGAATTGATTTTTTAAAGGCAAGTGTTATTTTAAAGACCATGAATTTGTAACATTATTCATTCAATATTCTCCAGGTTGCATTCTGATCTGTGCCAGTCTCATGGAGATGCTTACAGTTGTGTTCCTAAGGAGGGCCATCGAACAGAATACAGACACAAACTCTTTGGATGACCTTGAGAGAGCCCTCAGAAAAATTTCTGACCACGAAAGTGACGATGAAGAGGAAACTAAAGCTTCACGTCTTTCATTAAGCAAATCAGCGGCAGGCTCCCTCAAGACAAATTTAAATCAGGATGTTGAAGTGGACAAAAAGGCAGGGGGGGATGAAAATATAGACACTGTTGACTCAGGGCCAGTTGCTGATGATGTGCTTGAACCCATAGCCGAAGAAGTTGAGAAGCAAAGCTTTCAAGGATTGGATACTTAATAACAGCTGACCACAAAGAGATCTGAGAAGAATGCAAACAACGATGTTGAATATAATAATATATTTTATATCAAGAAAATGGCAGACAATAAATTTTTTATTTACAATTTATTTAGAGCACAAAATGCATTTGTGTTAAAGACAAATAAAATGTGCATCATAAATCATTCTCATATTCGGAGTAGTTGTTTCTTTTAATGGTTTACCTGACTGTATTATGTTGGTGTCACACTTGTAGCTCGAACACAATATTGAGCTGCTCAGCTCAGTTACAAGACTAGACACAGGCCTACTATGTGCCCTTTGTTGAATATATATGCTGCATTAAGACGTTTGATTTCCTACTTCCGATATGTTACTTGGAAAGTTGGGCCTCTTCCAGAAGACACATATATCTATGAGATTCATTCATTTCAAATATATATATTTCTTCAAATATATATAGCCAAATATGTTTATAAATGTTGTACAAAACACCATGTGCTGGAATCAGTAATAACCTACACACTGCACTGTTTCTTTGGGCGAGAATGAGTCACTACTCAAAGAGTTCAATGTAAAACTGAGCCTCGAGGCACTATACAAATGCACCTCTCCTGTTGAGGAACCTGTAGCTTTCAGCTGCGGAGGTGTTGCACAAACAAGCTGCCAGTGTGACATTATCCAGAGACCACAATGCACCACATAAGTGTGCAGACGCAAAGTGTGACACCGAATTACAGTATTATTAGCGGCTTAAAAAACAAAAAAGAATTTATCTTACTCTCATCTCGGCTCCATACAATGCAGAGCCATTTCTACAGTTTTTCATTGATATGCGCTACATTTTAAGGTAAGCACTAACATGATTTTTTGGTGTTTTTGACTTGGAAAATTAACATCCAGAATTTGGGCTAGAAACAATGTTAACATATGAAAAAAAATGGTGAAATGGTATAGGTTAAATGCCCCTATCAACACTATGAGCTTATTTAAGAGTGGGACCTCCGAGTTTAATGTCCATCTCCGGAGGGACAGAGACAAATGTGCAAAATACCTTTCCCAACAACACAATGTAGAACTGAGCTACGGCTCCAATCCCCAAACCCACAATTACGAGTCTGGTAGCCTCACCACTAGGCCACCAATGTTAACCTGTAGCATGCTGCATTCGCTGCAAAGTACGACTAAAGTTAAAATGTGAGATTCGAATTATTAACGTCTCTAAAAGTGTAAAAAGAAAGATCGTGAACATAGCGAAGTTAATTGTAGTGACCTGGCTTCAGCATGAGCTGTTTTTAAAACTTTTTTTAAAGCACAAATTGGACTTGCCGTAGACTTCAATGGCAATTTAGGAATTGCTAATGCAACTGCTACTGAGGATATTCCAGCTGGACACCTCCACTACTCCCTTAAGAACAATTCAGCATCAATAAACATGCTGTAGCTTCATCGCTTGCAGCTGGTATAAGATTTGGGGGATTGCAAACATTTTGTGAGAATACATGAATGTCCCCAACATTTTAAAAACTATTTGTGTTTAGACTTTCGTGCAACGACAACTTATCGTTCTATGCATTCAGCAGAAGAAAGTTATGAATGAAGAAGACTTTGCAAGAAGGAAAGGGGAGATAACATTTTAGGAGAATGACATCTTGGTGGGTATTTATTTTTATTTTGCCAAGAGTTCTCTACATACATGCTCATTGGTTAGCAGAGCTACAAGATTTCTGAGGTGCTGACCAACTGAAAATGTTGAAACATGGGTCAACTCGCTGGCTCAACATTGGAAAATGTCTTCACTAGGCTGCTCCATATCAGGGAGCCCCTGAAGTTATTTTTTAAGAAAGAGTGCAAGAGGACAGCAATAACTGGTCATGCAATGAAAAAGTGAAACAAGATATTGGAAACCCTGTCATCCAGATCTACTAAACCGTATCTGATGTTTCTTCAGTTCGCTATTGGGCCCCTTATAATCGTTCCTCACACAGTTCTCCAATCAGAATCCCCCAAAATTTTATTTTGTCTCTCACGCTTGAATGCAGGCTTCTTATTTAAAAAAATCATGACACACTTTGTGGTACGGTACCTTCTGTTATTAGTGAAAACAAATGTGCTCAAGATGTCCAGTACAAATTGTCTTACAACATGAAAAATGGCTTGTCTGAATCCAAACTAGCTGACTTCAAATGCAATATCAAAAAATATTTCCCCACTGTTATTGATTACATGTTGAAGTCCCTCCCCCCTCAATCATCCTGTGTTGGATAAACTGTCTGTCAGTGTCATAGACCCAATTCTCATTTCTTCATCTTCTGTAAGTGACATCTACTTCTTAGCAAAAAAGTAACCTGTACTAATCCCAGCTGAAGCTTCAGTTAAAATACTTGAACAGTTTGTCAACTTGCAATGCTCTGTTCGGTGTTCCACAAGACTTGCAGTATGATAGGATTGATCACTTTTGGACCAAGATAGCCCAATTCACAGAAGGATGTTAAAAGCCATATATGGTGCCATTGCATTCTTCATGCTCGGGCTCTTAACTATTCTTCAAGGTAGTGCACATTGAGAGAGGGTGTTCTCATGCCTTCCAAATAAAGACTGACCAGCCATCCTCAATGGCTATTCTGGGTTGCTTTTTTTTTTTGTCAGATAAGAAGAAAAGATGAAGACAGCAAAAGAGGCTTGGGACTTGATAAGGTCAATCGCAGAAGGCACAGCAATCATATCAATGTACTTCGAACTACTGGAGAAGCAGCAAACCGTGGCAAAAGAAAGAAAACGCCCTTATATACTGTAGTTACACAACAGTTGCTTTCGGAATACTGCACATACTCTCCGTGTGTTTCATTAGACAACGTGAAGGCCAACTTACATCACATTGACAACAACCAGTATTTAAAACATGAGCATAATTGTATGCGGAACTGGGACAACCTATTTTGTTTTTTGAAAACCAAGTTTATTTTTCAGAAAGGACAGACTGAATCAAATAGACCTGTTGAGAGAGCCAGCGCATCAGATACTCAGCCAACCACCGAACCACTCACAACACAGTCCGCCATTCACTTTGATTCAGATTTGATAGTGGTTTCAACTCCAACCCCTTCATACTGTGATAACGTTTCTTGTGTTTCTACAAAGAAGGCAACCCCCCCCCCCCACCTTTTTTGAGATACTCAAAGCCCAGAAAAAAATACTTTCTATTTTGAGGAAAGACTCAACTGCTTTCAAACATTTGTACACATTAATAGCAATTAATGAAAGAGAAAAGTGTCAGAAGGACATAATTAAACAGTTACAGGCAAGCCTGAAAGAGCAGGAACTGTGTGTAAAAAAACTGCAGCAGCAGAACAAGTCTTTTTCTCAGAAGCAGGCAGAATTGTCAAAAGACAATATAAGAAACTCTTGAAAGAAGGGGAGGGACTGAAGAAAGAAGTCCACTCATTGAATAATACCATTTACAGTGGTAAATTTAAAGTAAAAGCGCTAGAGAAAGATATTAACGAGTTAGGTGAAAATTGCCAGAACCTCCAGAGCCTACTCCGTGACAACGGTATTGACAATGATGTGTACCCTGCCAAAGATGGCAAAATGTATTCTGTTGACATTCGGTCTTGTGTAAACCAGGAATTACTGTTTGATGTGCCTGTACAGAACTGTGGATTACTTATCGAGAAATTTTCTAATATCTTTCTTGGAAAGAAACTATCTAGTATTCAAAGTACTAGATGGCCTATGAGTTAGGTGTTTTGGCCTCAATTCAGGTCTCTGAGTTTATTGTCAATCAGAACCTCCTGTGCTTGTCATGGGATGCAACAACAGCAGACGGCACACATGTGAATGAGATACATGTTACTGTGAACAAGTCGGAGTGCTTGTGCCTAGATGTTCGCCATTTGCCTTGTGGCAAAGCGTCAGACTATGTAACACACATTATGTTGGCCTTGACAGCTATATCATACCATATTCGGATGAGAAATGGCACGAAAGCTCCCGTTTGCACCAAAACATTCAGAAGCATCACTTGTGTTTCGGAGAACAGAATCTAGCGACTTGATAGATATTTCAAGGCAACTGGCCACTTCATGCCTAAAAGGAAAAGTGAGTCAAGACAGATGCCATCAGACTTTGTTGTGTCCAATTCTATTAACGAGTGGATTTCTTCCTACAAGTGTTGGGAGAGTCATTACGGTAGCGAAAAGAGTGTACGCTCTTTTTTACCCCCAGAACTGTCTATCAACAGAATGAGGAGAGACTAGAAACAGCTGAGACAGTCAGGGGCCAGAGAAACATCCCTTTCAAAGTTCAAGGGAATTTTCTATACATGTTTTAACATTGGCTTCGGAAAACCAAGGTCCGACGTGTGCTCCTTCTGCTCTTCCATGGCTGAAACTTCACGCAGAGCAGGATCAGCTTTTGAAGCAGCAGAAAATCACAGAACTGCATGCTCACTGTAAGGGTCAGAAAGTTCCATCAGCTTTTCGTTGATATGATAAATGAGTGCTTTGACATGCTACAGAATCAACCACTGCCAAAACTTAGCATTGGCGAAGTATTGTCTGGCTGTAGCCTACAACTTGACTTTACTCCTCCAGGGATGTTCAGAGGGACCAGACAACGTTGACATCTACACATGGCTGGAAATGGAAAGTGGCCGTGGCTATTTATAATGAAGTAGCTTCAGCATTGAAACATTGTGAAAAACTCTAGAGTAAATTTCTGGAGAAAGGTGCAGGGCCAAATAAGCTTCAGTTGTTTAGTAACGCATGTAGCTCTGCAGTCATGGGCCTGCTGACAAACATAATGTCGAAAACCAGAATTTTTCAATCAATTAGCCACATTTTCCCTCCATTAGAGGATATAGTTAGTTATATGGCCACACACAGAGTGTCCAGGCGCATTGAGAAAGGTTTAGAAGGCGTGAAGCCATTGTCTGTTTACAGGAGTATCACCCAATTTTAGCTAAACATGGCAGAGTTCATCTCAGTATCTCAAGAGCTGCTGCAGTGTCCACAATTCTGGGACACTGGTTCAGACGGAGCACATTACACTTCCAGTGAGAAAGGGTGGAAGTGGCAGAGGCAAAAACACCCAACGATCAAGAACCTCGATTGACTTTGAATGATACTGAATGGCTCTGCATGCAGTAGGCGGGGTGTCTATCCCCCCAAAAGCTGGCACTTTGGAATTTTGTGTTCATTGTAATAAAATAAAGTATTTCTTATGGCTTTTTAATCCGACAGTTGGTGAATGTTGAAGGCAGATAATTATTAGAGGGCTATGACACCAAATTACAATCACTTCCCAAAAGCACTGTGAACCCAAATCTGGAGCTAAGAGGCAAGGCCCTATGAGAAACTGTGTTGTGTGCAACGAAGGCTTCAAGAATAGAAAAGGATTTGTTTAATATTTTGTTTAGTACAGGGTTTTATGGCCCTCGCAACTGCATAAGGTCATATGAGCGCGCGAAACACAAGTTGGTAGCATTCGCAAGCCCCCTTAAGCTCCAGCTGTCTAACATTAGACCTTGTTAGCGGAATGATTAGAAAACAATTCAATAGAAAACAGACTTCAAATGAGTGTATGCACTACCAACTGCCTCTGTGCATTCCTGACTTTCACAGATTACCACACAAAACGTATTTACAAACTTTGAACTGAACACACTGACAAAAGCACACAAACACAGCGATAAATGTGAGTGGAAAATTTATTTCCAACTCTTATATGTGTTTTTTTAAAATTCTTCATCAATTTGTGGTTAATATGATGTATGATACAATTTTCTAGCTTCAGTGGGGTGTGTTTTATGACTGTTTTTCTGACATTACCTTGTGTCAGTGTAGTTTAAGCAAAAATAATCAACAGCTGAGGGCAAGTACAGGTAAAAAATAACTGACTGCTGTAAAGGTAAAGTATGTACACTGCAAATCTGGAATAGTTTTCTTTGAAAAGAGAAAATGTGAACTAAATTTTTTTAAAGTTCCAGATGGTCGTCGTGGAGACATTTTTGACGAAAATTAAAAATGTATTTGTATGTGTTGTTTACATGATCCTTAAATGTCACAGCATTCATGTTTTAAGGCACCAAGGCCGTGATCAGAAAAAATACTAGAATCTGTTAGTGCTTGCCTTTGCCTCTGAAAGCAACCCTCACAAATAAGGATAAATGCACCAAAACCTTCCCATGAAAATAAATAGCAGCCATAAATTGGTTTCATGTAGAAAATAAAAACAGCCAATCATTAAAACTTAACAGCAACAAACAATGATTCCCAGACATTCTTTTCCTCAAGGCCCATTAGGATCCCTGAAGCGATGGCGGAAGTTGTTTGCTTTGACGCCGAGACGCATGTGGTAGCGTGTCCGCAGTCGTTGCATGTACTGAACGTCTTTCACCCGTTGTGCAACTTGAGTCCCTGAAACAAAATAATTTTTGCCTTTAGAATATCAAAAAGGCTTGTTCATTGTAATAGTTGGCCTCTTACACGCCTAGTCAAAAAACATTTTTTAAATAGAGCTGAGAAAAATTAAAGTATTAAACAGTAACAAAGTTGAAAAGTCAAATAAGATTTCAGTCATTGTGGTGAAATCAGGCGCTCGCCAAATGCAATCAAAGAAACTGGTACTTTTCTTACTGTGTAGCAATTTTTATCCATTAAAAATTTTTTTTCACTCCACACCTTTTATGTCCATGTGAAAACACATTCCTGTATGGATTTTACTGATAAACGTTGATTAAATGCACAGAAGGTGTAAATTTATTGTTTCCAAGGACTCTCAAGCTTTGGAAGTCACCAAATTTTCATGCAAATTTTATCTTTGACACATGGCGACCCCAACCCCCTTCAATCGCCAATATCTTCACTTCTATTAAATATAAATTTATTTTTTTTTCACGACAAATAAACAGGCTTTGAGATGATACTAATAACTCCATATGACCAAAAATGAACGAGCGCTTGATTCCACCATGTTCTCTCTCTCACACACACATTATCCCCCCCCCCCCTCCCCCATTGCCAAATCCAGAATAGTCCCAGGTAAATCAAGACCATTTGTAAGCCTGGGTTTGATAATGATTACAGACATAATGCAATATCGTTTGAATTCCTGTATTACTATTATGCTAATTTTCGCCAAAATGGAAAAGGTCACTTCTGGCTTTCAGTCCGCACATGTGCAGGCTTCAACACAGATGGCTGCTGGATTGGAAAAACAAGTAAAAGTAAAATAAACCATGCAGTGAGGGCAAGAGGCTACTGTCAAACAAAGAATCAGACCTGTGGTTCCTGTCCATCCCAGAGCTTTGTAATAAGCCAGCATCTTGGGAAGAACTTTCTTTGTTCCATCTCGTGTGTGGGGAACCAAGTTCTGCTGGTAGTATCTCATCAGGGATCTGTGCCCCACCTGTGCACCTTTGTGAAACAATAGAAAACATCCAAAGTCAGCCCATTATGATAATAATAACAATTGAAATACTACAATCGTGATAAAAATAAGATAATAATTACAATAATTAAAATAATTAATAAATAACAAAACCTGCAACTTCAAACAAAATCATGTTTGCAAGGTACAAGTATGCTGACACTGTAGAAAAAAGATATTTGCACAGTGAGGGAGATGGATCGTTATTGGAAGAAAGAGAGGTGAGATATGTCAAGGCATTACCAAACAGATGCACTGCACTTTTTTTCAGCAAGTTCTCTCTTCAGTTCACAAATAGGTGTTAATATGGATTTGTATTCACTTAATAAGAAGGTACTCCAAACTGCCTTAACACTTAAAATACTTTTGAGGTTAGAAATTCACAAGAACCTATAGGCCAAATTCCAATAGTATGATACATATACATAGAGGACTACGGATGGGTTGATATTATTTGGGGAGTGCAAGTAAAAGATCAACTCATCCGTAGAGTCCAACTTAGCCAGGACTACAAAATCAAAGGACATAAAATCCTTTCCATTGCTTATATTTCAGTTTTAGTACTGCAGTGTGCTGTAAAAATGGCTGCAACAGGGGAGGTTGCCAAACATCGTCAACCATTCAACCATTGCGCACTCCCACGTGTGTATGTGTGTGAAAAAGAGAGCGAGTGTGTTGGTGTGTGTGTGTGTGTGTGTGTGCGTGAGAGAGTGTGAGAGAGAGAGAGAGAGAGAGAGAGAGAGAGAGAGAGAGAGAGAGAAAGAGAGAAAGAGAGAGACAGAGAGAGTGTATGTGTGTGTCCACTGCAGCAAAACTAACAATAATACCATTTACCAGCAAAAAACTTGCCCTCTCACTGCAGATGATTATGTTGTACGGTATTTCTGAATATGGCAAAACTATCAACTATCACTTTATACCGTATTCTTTATTCTCACAATGCACAATGAAAGTGAACGTAATAGCTCTATTATAAAAGTACGTTAAAAGCATGTACATTTTAAACCTAGCTTTTAACGAGTAAAAAACATGGGACTCCGCACTTCAGAAAGTAAACGTTACGCCAAGAGTGTGTTTTCAGCCGAGTACGTTATTCTGAGGTTTTACTGTAGTACTCATTGTCTTGCACTACGCCATGCACTTGGGCAAGGAAAGGGAAGCACCAACAGATGTGGAAATTGCACTGTGAAGCCACATGTACCTGCTCCTTGTGCTTCCCTCACCGTTTCAGTGAGGTACATGTACTAAGTAGGCCAACTGTGCGTTGATCGGCTCTACATGAATGTATTTATACATTTAGTATCACTCATGTTAAAACTGCTGAGAAACATCTGACGATATACACTCAAAAAAATTAATTCAGCCATTGCATATATTGCAGCAGGGGTTTTTTAAAAAAGCACTTCAACATCTGAGCATCCATGTTTGAGTTGAACTAGACATAACTATTTGAGTTATGTAAAGAAAAGAGGTGCTAGGACTTGAGAAAAAGATCAGCTTAATTAACCAAAGATCAACTCAGGTAAAGCAAGAGGAGCTGACTGTATCTGTCCTTTCATTACGGAACAGTACTCTGAAAGTAGTTTCGCACACGACACACATATAAACTTTTTTTGGTGTTGCAAAATCTGCCTACAATAAGGAGCTGTGAAATTGGGTAACTAAACTGACTTTGAAATGACAAATCTAATGGAGGCTACTTCATTTTGACTAATAATAATAATAGATAGCATTTGTATAGCGCAAATCCCCGCCCAACAGTAGGCTCTATGCGCTTCACAATCTATACTATTACCCCAGCTGACCTCAGAGCATTCTAAAACAACCTCAACTTCCTGGGAAGCATACAGTGCAAGTGGCCATTCATAGGCGCTAAAACACTAACATACTGACAAGATCTTTCGTTGTCCATGGCCGGGTACCCATTCCCACCTGGGTGAAGTGAGGGAAATCCGTGTAAATAGCCTTACCCAAGGACACAACGTCCGGCCCCTGACGGGATTCAAACCCACAACCTTACGGTTGTGAGTCCGAGAGCCTAACCACTAGACCACCGACTAAAGAGAGAAATTAAGGAAGTTAAGCATAGCACAAATTTACCAGCAGCAATTAAGGTAAAACAATATTAACACTGGAACTGGAGCTCGACAGTTACGCCAGGCCACCCGCATCCAAAATCATGTTCAAATAGCTTACCAGACGGAAGAGTAAGGGAGAAACCGTCAGTTTCAAGTTCTTCAGGGTTGATCACTTCATCTGGATTTGTCTCCGGATCTGCCCCATCAGGGTAACTTGGTCTGAAGGAATCAAACATTGACACTGTAGCCACAAAGAAATCTCTTAAAGTAAAAGAAAACTGAAAGAGATCCACAGACCTACACTGCAATTGATGCTAAGCACACACAATTTTTTAACCCTTGAAAGAAGCACTGCCTCTCAATATAGCACATTAAATTTTAAACTTCACAAATCAAAATGTGCAGAAATTTGGGAGCAAATCTGAGCACAGACCGGTGCAGGTTATAATTTTTCTCAATCTTATCTTCTAGGAAGGCTTCCTCTGAGCCTAAAACCCTTACAAGGACTCTCATTCTTCATTATCTCCTATTCCAAGTTTGCAAAGGAGAAAAGTCAACTAAAACAAACAAAAATGGCACTTACGTGTAATCATAAAAGTCTGCATACTCAAACACCACATTGCCATCATGGAGCATTTTACAATGACCTTTATCCACCATGTGTCTCTGAACATCTTTCGTGTTGTGAAACCGTTTACCCTTATCATTGCACCAAAGACACACTTTTCCAGCACCAACTTTTTCTCCTAAAATAAACAAAAAATATTTTTTAAAATGAGCATGTCACTTTAATTTGGCTTTGGGTGGAATTACTTGAGTAAAATGAGTCACAGGAAGAAATGAGTAAAATAAATCACATAGAAAGATTAGCTTAATCCAGTTCAGTGAAAAACAACACAATCACAAAACTTAGCTAGAAATAGTTTCACAAGAAGTATGAACATCAACTGCAACTCTTCATAAAATAAGTCAATAAAAAGAGTGTATAGAACGAGAAAAAGCTAATGAAAAAAAACAACAAAACAACTTTTTCATTATTTTTTCAGTACCAGCATCTAATAAAATGAACCTATTGATCTAATACATGCACTACAAAAGGAAGCACAACTTTAATGCCTTTTTCAAATCTGATTAATATTAAGTTATATTACAAAAAATTTAACACAGGTAAAAATAATAGGAGTTCAATGACAAAGAAACCAATAATTTTTTTTTTAACACCGAAATTCTATACACATATAATGGTAACCAACAGAAAACGGGCTAAAGCAGGCACTGCATAATTCAGCAAACAACATTACCGAGGTACGTGATGAGACCTTCCAAGTCACTGATGTACTCTGCATCCGGCAAGAAGAAGCCATGAGCAGATGTCATATGGTTCACATTGTTTTCTAGACTGGAACTCAAGAAAGAGCAAAACAAACACTCTTCAATGCCCAGAGTATCTTCCTCATAGCTGTCCCAGGACTCTGCATCGCAGTCATCATCTGAGAGGGAAGGGAAGAAATATGTCAATACAGTTTGTATATTGAATAGCATCATCATAATAAAGTGTCAGATTTGAAACAGACATCGGCAATCATGGTTGTCCATTCAATTCTCCACTTGGATACTCGCAGATAAATAAGTTACTCTGGGTCTACTCCTGCCTCATTTGTCTTCTATTCTTCCAAAGAAAGAAAGATGATCAAAACCTTTATATCATGTGAGCTTCTTTCAGAACAATATATTCTTTAGATTATAACAAAATTGAAAGGAAGATTTTTACACATTCAATTTTATAACCTACCACGAAGGCCTTGCAGAAGATGTGTTCAACACAAAAGCACATTGCTCACATTCAGTCTACACTAGCATGTTTTGATTCAACTCAAAGACCTTAAAACTTTTTTCGAGCGCGACATAGAAGCGCGTAACCACTACACATCACAGACGCCAGTCTTAGAGATCTGCCTTCCCTTTCACTTGATGAATTCACAGAACCACGACCTTTCTTTAATATGAAGTTGAAAAGTGGAGAGGAGGCAAAACAATGGGCTGATGCATTCTTGACATTTTTAAATTCTAACAATTGCCCAACAGGTGAGCCACACTTTACACAATTTTAGATGGCACCACTGACCAGGGAAGTTAATAAAACTGTTAAGAAATTCATGAAAATGATCCTTAACGCCTTATGGCAAAAGTATCTTAAAATTTTAAAAACCATTCTCATGAGAACTTGATGGAGGGAAGCAAATGATTTTTTTAAAAGGGAGAAGGTTCACACTCATAATTATGCGTACAACACTACAAATTTATGAGAAATAAAAGTGCATTTCAGTAAGGCTTGGAAACAATTAAAAGAATAAAAGCTGTTAACAAGACCATTTTCACAGCCATTACTGAACAAATAAGTCAAAAATTAAAACTTTTTTTTCACAAATATATTCTATCACGGCATCCTAATGAAGTACACAAGTTCTGAGTGCTTTATAAGAGATGGATGGTTTGAAGCGCTAACTTAAAGACTTTCATTGTGATACAGAAAGGGGGGGGGGGGGGGGTGGAAACAGAGAGAGAGAGAGAGAGAGAGAGAGAGAGAGAGAGAGAGAGAGAGAGAGAGAGAGAGAGAGAGAGAGAGAGAGAGAGAGGAAAGAAGGGGGGGGGGAGGGAGGGAGGGAGGGAGAGCGAGAGCGAGAGAGAGAGAGAGAGAGAGAGAGCTTGTACAAAACAATTCTCCTCACCTCCTTCAGACATAGCTTCTTCTACTGGTGGCTCAGGTTTCACCTGGCCTTGCTGTTTCGTTGCCTGCTGCTTTCCACCACGCTTGGATTTTCTTTTCTTATTATCCTCTTTTCCAGAGAGTACATCTTTGTGTTTCTTCGATTGAATGTGGTTTTCATATGCATTTGAAGTACTGAAGACTTTGTTGCAAGGTTTGCAAAAGCAAGTCTCTTGAGAACTTGCACTCTCTTGTTCCTGCCATTTAAAGTGGGAAAGGGATATAAAAAGGTTTTTAAAAGGTCAAATTACACATAGTGCTGCAAAGAACCTACGATTAAAGGATAAAATTCCAGTCTCAATTTAATTGCACATAAAGAAACTCTATAAAGATCCAAAAGAGAGATACAAAAAGACATTTTTGTCACCCTCATTCATTGTGAAATAAGTTTTTCAGTGATGTTTGCATTTTTTAAAATTCAAATAATAACACTATATCATATAATATTCTCAAACTACAAACAAAAACATGCCATTGCCAGGCAGCTATTAATTCTATTCAACTACCTTGTTCAAGGACAAATCATGGTGCCTCCTCATAAAAAAGGTGGCCAGGTTTGACAAAAAGCATTAGTTTTTAAGTATTGAATGCACTCATGTAACGTCTGCAGTTTCGAGCATAGTAAAACTCTTACCAAGCTATCAAACTAAGTATTAAACCAGTCAGTGATTCCAAGTGGAATAATTAGGTCTACCTGTTTTTCCTGAAGAGACAAACGTTCCTGGAACTTTTCCAGTGTCACTGGAACAAAGTTAGCCACTTTTCTCTTCAGATTATAACGGTGCCAGTCCGTTTTGTAGTGCAGTCGCCCCAGATCAACATCATCAAATCCAACATTGCATGCTAAACAAGTTATTGACGACATCTTGACCCTTGACAAGTGGATCAAAATCTTTCTGAAAGTAAATTGTGACAAGGTACACATTATATAAAATGTTGTAGCTATTTATCTTGATTAAAATAATTAGCCCTGTGAACAATTGAAAAAGAACATTTTAAAATGTGCTCTACAATACTTTTGTTTTAAATTGACTATTGAAAGAAAATAATTGATAAAATATACAATTCACTAGAAAAGTCAATAACAGTAAAACTTCTAGGTTGTTTTTTTTGGAAGTAAGAATGAAGCCCGATCCATTTGATATGGAAACAATTCAATAAGTACCAATTAATTTCATTTAAAGAACAGAAGTTAAGGCCCTATCTTTATTTTAAAAATAAAGAATTGGCAAAAAATTGTCAAGTTTGTAATCAATGAGAAGTAATGGAAATATGCTTTTTATTCTTAACATCATTAGACTGTTAGATTCTGATCTGTTGAAATTCTTGTTATATTATGACTTCTATCAAATTAATCCCCCACTCAAAAATTCATTGAGGGACCTAGAACCCCAAATGTATTACTTCTGCCTTCATTTTAGATAATAAAGGAAATGTTATGAGGTAAGGCTAATCCTATCAGTTCTGTCCCACAGAACTTGTGCACCTAAATTCATGTGCTTCCATACTGCGCTGAGGGGTGCATTTGGCACACAGTAGGGTAAAGCTCTGTATTCGTTTCCATCAGGTTATGGAGCTGTATATGAGCTTTCAGTCCCTTAAACTCACTTGAGCCTATTCTTGTGTATTTACTAAACGCACTGCCGGCCCAGTGGTCTAATCCTGTGTATTTACGGGATGCGCTTCATCAATCAATATCTCCTCTGTGTTTTTCAGTGACAAGCTATGGGAAGCAGCAAGCCAGCATTTGACCCACTTATTTCGTTTCGTTAAAAATTTGGTGGTTATGTGCTATACATTTTGAGTTGTAAATGAACAAAGTCAGTTCCCTCGCATTGTGAAACCTCATGCCAGTAACTTTTTGTGTGACATTGAATTCTTGTATTTTTGCAATTCAATTTCAACAAACACTGTGGTGCTATCAAGACTGTTGGTCAAGAGAATCTAGCAGACAAGAGAAAATTACGGTTTGCACCCCCATCAACACAAGTTACATCAATCCAAAAGCAAGCTGCTCCCACCCAGCTGTCAGGGCCTGTCCCATCTCAGTACGATGCACAGCCAAATGACTGAGAAACTTTGGTCCATCTGCATTTACCTTAAAGCTTACACTTACTCTTTCACAGTTCACAGTCAGTTCAGGGGTTTGGTCTCCAGTCAAAGGGGAGAAAGACAGCCTTCTCAAAAAACCAGGGGTAAAGAAGGAGTCGTCAGTAATTCTGAAAAAAAATACTGCTCGAATTAGTCCAATGTGTACGAGTTCATGACCAACAGTCAACAGGCACTGGAATTCTTTCTGTTCACTGACCGTCTTTGTCAATTAAAAATAATAATAGACCTAACAGACTGCATTAAAAAGTAGCAATCTATCCCATACACAAGAAAGCAGAGAACGCTTCACATTGACGACATGATTACTGAGAGTTTAACCTCACAAACACAAGAACAAAACAGTTTCAGCCTAATTCAAGAAAGGAAGTGGCTATTCTCAGCGCGGGTGAGAATAAAAATACGATCCACCTCTCACTGCGGGTGAGACTTGCCAGCGTTGGCTACTCTCACCTGGTGTGAAACAAGACCTTTTTTTCCTTTTCTAAATACTTTCTATCGGTGTGGGTGATCAAATTGACCAAAAAAATTTTTTTTAATGATGTTGCAGTACAAAAGTAAACTAATTTGGTCATCCACAAAGATGCTAAGGCTATTCCACTTTTCGAATCGAGCTGAACTATGCCGGTCGCCATTATTATGTTTTGCCTGGAAGTTCTCGCTAGATCTTGGCTACTCCTCTCTCTCTCTCCCCACATATTTTTCTCCCACCCTCTCTCTTACTGCCCGCAGACAAAATTGCACTTTCAACTAGAGCGCGGAAATGTTTGTTTACACTGGTATCACGGTGAACGCACACCAGGTGAGAATACCCCAAAAAGGCAAAAAAGGCTTGCCCTCTCATCCCAGGTGAGACCTAGAACTGCGCCTATTCTCACCCTGCTTGCTAATACACCCAATTAAGTTAAGAATTCTAGACGTAATTAACTTGTGGCTCCATTTGGCTACACAGATGATGTACAAAATTTAAACTTCATAAGCATAACCATCATCCAAAATGTATCATATCGCTGGTGGAGTGATGAAACCTCGTAACCCTCAATTTTTTCGAAATAGTTTTTTTGCCTTATATATGTCTTCTCCCAGTGCTTCTTCACATTGTGTCAAAAGCAGTAGGTTAAATTATAAAGAGAATGTATGAAAAAAAAACTTACAAAAAAACCCTCGTGTGTTTGCCCCTATGATATCCTGGCCTGATGAAACCTCGCAACTCTCACCTGGTGCGCCGATCTGCTTTGTGTGGTTTCATCACTCCCGGTTTTAGAGAGCGACTTGCACGAGGTTCTGGATAAGCCTTCTTTATGAATTGACTTTTAAATGGAAGCGCTCATAATAGGCATTTTCTAGTGCATTGTATATGCCGGACTTAATAAAGAAATGTTTCATTCATTTATTCATTCATTCTTTTATTCATCCATTTTATGTCAGACAGTTCAAAAATTCAAATATGATCATAAGTGAAGGAGTTACAATTTGTAAATCTATTTGAAATCCTGTTATAGGGATGACTAACGCATTGGTAAACAAGATGTTCTAAAGCACAAACGTAGTCAACACTTAATTTTTATAAAGGAAACAATCACACCTTGAAAAGACAGGTTGTGACAATAGTCCTTACTAGGAATAAGTGACAAGTCTATGCACTCTCCAGATGTCACCTGGCCTTTTTGTAGAGAAGGTAAGGTTTCACCCCTTCTCAGACGCGTATTAAAGGCTATTTACTATTCATTACGCAAAAAAGAAAATTTTGAAATTTTTGCATGTAGCCGGTTTGTGAATCCCATCGACGATATATTTCTACTGAGTGCGGTTACATCGTTTTAGTTGAGGCAAATCGCAAGTACTAATTCACTCGTTTTTCTCGAAACCGACGCTTTGACAAAGTGAAACTAGATCATCTCAATTTAGATGTTTTCATAAATTCCTAAATATCTAAACCCTTTCCAAACATTATAACAACAATAAAAAGTACTTTTAGGCCTTTAATAAATGATGGATCATGATAAAACGAAACAAAACAAGCACCCCATCATAGCCGATATCGGCGACACGTCCGCAAGGGGTGTGGACTCGCACCAATATATATATCGGCGATATAGATCTAGATCTACTATTTTTAAAAAAAAGAAATCTATATGCTGTTTGGCATTCTAGATCTAGAGATATTTAAATCTAAGTCCAGTATCTAGATATAGATCTAGATCTATCTATCTAGATCTAGACCTTCTCTAGATAGAGATCTAGAACTAGAACTAGATCTAAATCTAAATCTAGACTCTGGACATATCTAGAATCGGCGATCTTGTAGTTCCGTTTGTTAAAATCCACGATCCATTTGTTTACACCCAGAGAAGAAATCCAGAGGTCTTTGACTTGATGACCAAATACTAGATTTAGATCTAGATCTATTTGAAATGGTAAATTGGAGCTCTTTTGCGTTGGTGGGTAGATCTAGCTTATTGTGCTCGAGTGCTCAGTGTTGTGCGTTCACCTCTCTGTCCCTCTGTGTGCGTGTGTGTAAGTGTGTCTTTTCTGCTTGAGTTTGTGTGCGTTTGTGACCTTCTACTTCTAGAACTGCCTGTGTTGGTTCTACACCAAAGTGTAGGGTAGGCTAAGGCTAGCCTAGATCTAGGCCTACGTCTCATTGAAAACACGCCAAGTTGGTACCGTAGCTCTAGACTAGAATCTAGATATTTAATAGATATAATGCTCGTCCAATGAAATTAGTTGAGAACAAATGGACCCATTACTATTAGTAGTATTAGACACACATTATGTATTGCTAAAGTTAAAGAGTGTTGTTTTCAGACTTGACACCGCTTAACTCGATGGCAATTGACAAAAAGTCAATTTTTGTCAATTGCCACTGCGTCACTCGGTGGCAATTGACGATGCCATTTGAAGAGCAGCCTGGCACGGATGCAACCTCTAAGCATCAAATTAGGATAAAATTCAGGGGGATCCCCCCCCTCCATATTTTTATTAGGTTCGGGGGGGCCCCCCCCCCCCCCCCCCCCCCCTACTCTTGACTTTAACGAATGAAACTACAAAATCTCAGAATCAGTGTAGTACAAACAGTATTTTTATAGAATCTAATAGAAGCACTCCCGTTTAGCGTCACATCCACTACCGGAAGTCAGCTCTTCACCACTTTAGTGCCGTTGGATATACGAATTTAGGTCAGGTTTTTTTAGTTAAGGTTTAGTTTTAGGATTTTTTTTGGATAATGCATGCTTTTATAGACATTAGGGGGGTTTCAGGGGGTCTCCCCCTGACGTGCGAGTACGTTATAGCAGTGTAGTAGGTCGGTACGGGGGGGGGTCTGCCCCCCCTGAAATAAAGTGCCGTAACATCTAAACTAACAATTTGCAACGTTTTTCAATGCCAAAATCGTGTTCAGGGCCCTAAAAAACCTACAAAATAATACCCTTTATGAGACGGGAGGGTTTCTATAAATTTACCGTACAAGACAAATGGATCGTGGACTTTAACGAACGGAGCTAGATATAGATCTAGATTAGATCTATATCTAGAATCTAATTCTAGATCTAGATTCTCTAGATCTAGATTCAGCTTCTCTAGATCTAAATCTAGATCTAGAATCCAGATCTTCTAGATATAGATCTAGATCTAGCCTCTCTACAAGATCACCAATCAATAGGGCTGGATTCTGCTCGGTTAATCGAAGGCTTGTAAAGCAGCGGAAGTCTTGCGCTAGAGTCTTGCGAGCAGGCTTGTGGTTTGATTTGCCTCCCGCTTGCTACCGGAGTGAACTTCCCGTGAGTTGTGACTCGAGGACAGTCCTGCTGTACTGTGTCGTGACGTCGCGAACTCTCGTGGCAGTGGGCTCAGTACATATTATAGATTCTCTGGTTATTTGCGTTGAGAGGCTTGCACCAAAAGTGCAAGATCGGTTGTTGTTTTTTCATAGTTCGGTTGTAAAAAACAAAAAGCTCTATTCAATGCACTTAAAAATTAATATTGGATCGGCTATTCTTATGATGTTAAGGCCTGTTTATTTTTAATGTGCACGAGCCAAGCGCTTCATCGTCGCACGCAAGACCTCAGTTCGATTTCCGTATGGGGAGAAATTTTACTGAGAACCTCCGTCTTTCTGCTGGGGCGTTGTTCCCTCTCAGCCCAGGTTGGCCCTGACTTTGGGTTGAAGTAGGCCTAGCCCGTCTCCTAAGCCTAAATGTTCTGTATTATGTCACTGTGAGTCGTGAGTGTAACACATCTACAAAATAGGTTACATACATACGATACAAAAGCCAATCACAACGACCCCTGGAGTTCTCCATTCTAGGGTAATCTAAGTCTACTTATTCTTATTATTATCAGAAACCTAGGTCTCTGTTACTACAATACCACGCTCCCTCTCACTTATCCATTCGCTTAGCTGATCAACGGCGGGAAGTTAAAAATAACTTCAGCTCTCTACGCCTTGCACCAAAACAATCCCAGCCTCTCCCTTCCTCCACGGTTCAAAGTTCACACAGCGCACAGTACTGTCTTGCTGTTTGAACACATCGGACTGTCTTGTCGCCATCAAGACGGTCCTACGCCATCGAGCCCGTGCCGCTCGCTTGGTGTATCGAGACAGTACAAGTCAGCAGGTCAGGTTTGGAGCTTGTCCTGGGGCAAATCTGTAAGCCTAGCGCAAATCAGTACTGTGTGAATTGTGGGGCCTGTGGCAGCGGACGGACTTGAGGCTTGCGCAGGCCTCGATTAATCGAGTAAACTACAGCGCCACGCCGCGCAGTGACTCTGTGGGCGAGATCTCTCACTCTCCCCCTCTCTCTTTTTCTGACGTAAGTGGCTTCGCGGATTGCAAGCAGGGTGGGGATGATGAGGGGGCCTGACACGAGTGGCTTCGCGGATTGCTAGTAAAGTTGCTGTGGACTTGAAGTTTAGACTAGACCAACAAGGAGGTTACAGTTTGCGCTAGACTCAACTTATCATGCTGGTGATTTGATTTGATGATTTGACCTACTGATTTGAGGCTTGTGACTTGAACTAGTAGGGGCTTGTGAGCACGAGCGGGTTTGCTACCGGGGTACAGCCCTACCAATCAATGATTTTATTTTGTAATTATCATGTCACAAGCGTGGTGCAATACGACTGGACTACACTGGAACTGGAGTTCTCCTACCCTACAGTCTATACAGTAGGCCTACAATACTCTGAATAAGGAATAATACTGAATAGAGATTTTAAAATCAAACAAACAAATAAAACAGCCAGGTCCACTAGGGCAATTACTTACAACACTCTCACATCTAGGCTAGGCAAGTAAAAAAAAACTCACACTGGCGGACTGAACCACACACACCATCACACACAAGTGTCCACAAGGCTTGCTCTTCTTCGTAGAAAATATATTAGGCCTAGGCCGCTAGGCCTAGTCCCTACTTCCGGTTTTCCTTTTCCTCGCAACTTCCTTTCCTGCTCCAAAATCGAAGAGCAATGGTGGGTTTGGCTTATATGTGCGGTTAATATCCACAAAATCCTTCTCTATTATCCACTTTTGTGAATGTTTGTCGCTTCCATTGTACAGCTGAATATTTTATTTATCAGTTTTGTTTGTGGCTGTATGAAGTTTTAGGCGTATTTTGTTTTGATTTTGATTATACATTGCTAATGTCCGATGTGTTGTTCTCCTCAGGCCAAGAGAACCAAGAAGGTCGGAATTGTCGGTAAATACGGCACCAGGTATGGCGCCTCCCTCAGAAAGACGGTGAAAAAGATGGAAATTACACAGCACAGCACTTACATATGTCCCTTCTGTGGAAAGGTTTGTGTATTAGAATCTAGCATAAACATTAGCCTATTCTTTGGTAAGATGAAAGTATCCTTTTTACTATTTTTAGGATTTTAGGCCGAAAAGAGGCATTTGGTGAGGATGATTGTGGCTGGATTGTACTTTTGCGGCACTGGACCGCCCGTCTGGGCCAGTGATTACTACGCTCGCCTTGATCTGGCCTAACTACGCACTCGTAGTCCTCTACCTGCAGACAAAAGGTCTAGATCTAGTTCCACGGCAGCCAGCGGCGAGGCGAGAGGTGGTGGTTGAGGGTGGGTAGGCGATTTAACTCTTATCCTGCGTCTGTGCCCAGATGCGTATCTTTTATCAGCAACCGATTACATCGGACTGGCCGGGCAGGCCGCCGAGGTCACTCAGTGTGTACTGTTGGTGTACAGTGCGCATTGTTGGTGTACAGTGCGCACGCCGGGAAACGTGTTTTCGCCATGAATACCACGGGAGTGTGTTAACTGATGATGAAAATAACGCTCTATCCTTCATAGCATTCTATTTATAAAGTGTTACAAACACATGAATAACCCCCTCTCACAAGCTGATAAGACATTACCAGTAGTTACGCCCATTTGAATAACCTTTCTGGACGCTCTTGTTGTTATGAATGACCTGAGGTTCGAAAAGGGATAATTTACGTTAGGTCAATTTCCGAATGTTTTACACTCAAATTGTTCTTTGTACCTGCACAAGGGTATTCAAAACTATTAAACAAGCTCATTTTTTATCAGGTAGGATCATTTCATACAAAATCAAGCTCATTTGAAATATTTTGTATAGAAAAATGGAAGTCTTGTTTCCTGACTATCCTTTCGAGCTCCTCATGTCTAAGTCTAAGTGGGTCAATTTCTTCTATAATTTCATTGGACGAACATCTAGAGCTATCAATTTGGCATGTTTTGAATGAGACGTATACCTCGATTACGAACCAACGCAGGTGGTTCTAGAAGAAGGCCACAAACGCACACAAACTCAAGCAGACTGACGCACACACACTTGAACTGCGTGAATGGGGATCCGACTCGGGACCCGAATGACACGTAAGAGGATGCGCGTGCGCTGAACCAGGAGCTACACTGACTCGGGACCAGAACGCAGGCGAGGTGCCGAAACAGGCTTATCGGGCTACATAAATCCGGCTCCCGCAGGATGAGGGTTAAATTTGGTGGACCCACCGTGTATCATTCCAATGGCGGCAAATGGCAATAGTGGGAGGGGGCGGGGGTTCAGGGGGGCTTGCCCCCCATCATCCATGGAAACAATAATCAAGAAAACACCACACAGATCTAGATCTAGTACATAGATATTTTCTAAATCTAGGGCCTAGGCAAATGCAAAACAACATGAGCGGACTCTACAATGTCGAGCAAATAAGAATCGAAGTGGCTAACTGTACAAGTAAGGTTCAAATAGGTAAAAATTATATTCAGACTTGCATCCAAATAGAGGTGGCCCAAAAAAAAGATCTAGATCTAGATCTCTACTACCTTTCCTCCTCATTGGTGTCAGCAATATCGACCTCTAAATCGCTCATTTGATTTTGATATTTTGCTGTAATTTTTGTTGAGGGAAGATTGAAGAATACCGGACCGCTCGTACATTATTGCGCGAGAAAGTTGGGGAGGGGGGGTTCAGGGGGGTCTCCCCCCTGACAAAATTTTAAGGAATAGATCTACCGGTCCGAGACTCTCCATTGAGAGATATTAAAAACGGGAAAATTATGAATTCCTAAGGTTGAGACATAGGCAAAGTCAGTCCGCTGGTCTGGTATTCTTCAATCTTACCTTTGTTGAAAAAGAAAGAATAACAATGCAATAGTTGTCGAAGCCTGCAAAACCTGGCCATTTAGCAGTTTCAAACAACTTGGCCGGGTTATGCGGGCTTCGACAACTAACTGAAGATAAAAATCCCTAATTGTTAAAAATCGATTCTTCTGTTTGCACAACCCTTCTGTTTTCCGATAGAACACGTTCAATTGAAGTGGATTCCGCTGTATTTTTTATATCAAGAAATACTTGGTGATTTGCATTGAATGTTTAGAAATTAGATCTAGAGTGGATGTTCAGTGATGTGATACCATGGCTATATATGTAAATAAAATTTACGATCCAAGAACTGAAATGTGTATATATTTTTTTTTTTATATCACAGGAGGCTATGAAGAGGAAAGCTGTCGGCATTTGGGAGTGTTCTCGATGTGCCAAAGTTGTCGCCGGAGGTGCCTGGGTTTACTCGTAAGTGTACTCATTGACTTCTTGTTCGCTAGGGGTTTGCTGTTGGTGTTTGGGTGCTTAACCCTTAACTTTAGTCCTGCGGGGTTAACCGGAAGAGGGCTCTTATCGATCGATGACCCACTTACGTCGCCCGCGAGCTTGTGCCGCGGGGCGCCGGGGTCAGACACCGGTCACGCGAGCGTGCCGCGGCAGGTCAGGGAAACACCTCATCTTTTACAGCAAACTGATACGATCAATGAATAAGTGTTACGATCACACGAATAATCCCATTTTCTCCTCGTCGGTTGATCAGAGACGCTGAGATTGGAAGTTACACCAAATCGAATAACTTTTCCAAAGTTTTCCAGATTTCACACCTTTTATGAATGAACTTGCGAACAGCTGCTTATTCAGCTATCGTTCGAAAGAGGGAAAAAATGGGATAATTTCCTAATATTTTTTTATTCAGTTGCTCTCAAATTTCTCCCTCTGGTAGGACAATGGTTCAAAAACCACCAAATATGATTATTTACATCAGGAAACAACGTTTGGTGTTAGAATTAGATCGTTTGAAAAGTGAGGAAAGGTGTTTGCATTGAAAGATGAAAGTCCTATTTCCTGAATATCCGTTCGAGTCCTTCAAGTGTCTAACTGGGTCAAAATGCTCATATTTCATTGGATGAACGTCTCAACCGGCGCTCTGTTATCTCTACCAACGCCTCGCGTTGCAAAACAATGCAGTAAGTTCCAGATGGACACACAGGCACAAGCAGACTGACCCACACACATTTTAGCACACAGATGCAGACCCCCGCCCTAAACGAAATGCGTTGCCCGCGCGGGACGACGACTGATCAGGGACCAGCTGTGGAGCGCCAGGCGAGATTGCGCTTATTGGGCAAACATTTATCAGGGACTAGAATTTTAAGGGTTAAAACCCTATGCCGTATTTTCCTATACCGCTGGTCGACTTTATAGTTTAATTCCCAGTGCTAGAAACATGGAATGTAACTCCAGATGACTCTGTCGTGAGCAGAAAGTACCGATAATGTCATGAGAGAAATTCTACATCGAAAGTTTGGAAATTTTGCGAGTTTTAAAGAAAAATTAGTCACTTTTCGCTGCCAGGCCCTTCAGGCCGCAAATTGTTTTACCTTTTTGATCTTGAACCAGACCCCAATAATGATCTCCTAGTCCATATATCGATAAATATAACCGTTGAAGACGATTGCAGTGTTCTGCATAACATCGATGATGATTTTGATGATAGTGGAATTGGCAGGGGATCGCCACTAAAGCTACCAGAGGCTAGATCTACGGCTGGGTCTAATGATGCTTTGACTGAAGCGGAGTCAGGGATCACACACAAGACTTAACTCACAGAGTTGGTCATAAAAACTAGGGTTTTAACCTTTTCCCCTTTTGTTCAGACTGTGCATTCATAAATAACATTTTCAAACTTCCGTAAAATCTAACTACAATTAAACACACAGAAAATAAAACAATGAACCAACCTAGTTTTTTCTAGTATCTCAATTTTAATTCAGGATTCTAGGGAGGTATGAAAAAAAAGAATTCAGGGTTTTAAGGGTTAATTGATTGCTCTGTTTGCTTCCTGGGGAGGGGGGGGGTGCTCAAAGTTTCTTCAGGCTACTGTGCCTGCGGTCTGGGTGTGTGTGTTGGGTTTGTTTTTCTCTCTCTCTCTCTCTCTCTCTCTCTCTCTCTCTCTCTCTCTCTCTCTCTCTCTCTTTATCTTTCTAAGAAATTGCGTGAAGCTCGAACACAAACACGGAATAGTGAATAGTCTAGCTAATTAGGTCGCCATAGAGGTCTACAGTCTACAGTCAATGTCCTTTGAGCTGCACTTGAGACAATAATGGGTCTAATATTTAAGGACGGAAAAGGCGAGGTCTGTAAAATACACACACACACACAACCCTGAAGCAGTTAACTGTGCTCTTTTTAGCGCGCTGCTCGATATGCATGCCCTCTGCGCATGCTAAGGTCCTAAGCCTAGCTAAGCTTGTGTGGAGCGGGCTAGAGGAGGGGTTGTGCATCACTCGATCGGCTGCCCCACCCCTCTTTTGAAAGGACTGCGCTCTTGGTGGGAGAGGTGGGGTAGGGCTGCCTTGTTTTGTCGTCCCGTTGTTGATTACTGTTGCGATATGCACCATTCGATTTGTGCAGACTAAAGACTGCTCACACTGACCCGCGCAGTTAAACTGTCTTAGTACCGGTAGGCTCAGTTACCACTGACGGGGATTGTTTTTCATATTGGGTAATTATATTTTGAAAACGTGTGTGCATTCACGTGTGTGTGTGTGAGCTGGAAGAACTGAGAGCGTGGGATGTAATGATGTTGATAATCTGGCAATCAGTGCATCATGGACTGTGTGTTGATTTTCTCAAATTTGCTAAATCACAGAACCAGTTTTAATCGGTAATAGGCCTGTCCCCGTTGGATTGTGCAGCCACGTTTTTTCGCGTAGACCTGCAACATTTGCAAATGCATAATTTTGGATTCCCCGCATGTTTTTTTTTTCTTCACACAAAACAATTAACGCCTCGCCGTGTGACTAAAGGGAAGTAATCACTGTAATAAGTCTCATTTCAGTGACAAGCTGGTGATAAATTTCCCTTGTTAAAAGATTTTGGTTGTGGGTGGGGATTTTGTTCCTTGAGCATGTTCAATTTTTTTTCAATCCATTAAAAGTTGTGTGCGCCCGCCCCCCCGAAGGGGGGCAGTGCCACTGGCTGAAGTGTCTTTAGGTCATTTCCGAAGGGGGGACATATCTCGTTCAAGCATAATAGAATTGTAAATGGGCTGACTCATGACACGCTCATAACTGTGCCTGATCTACAACAGGAAACTGCTGTTTTTTCTTTCCTGATCCTTACTATTGTCATTTTCCTCTACTTCTTTTGTATGTTTGTCACTCCCTTGTAACCTGCTATTTTGGGGTGCCTTGGTAGTCGAAGCAGACTTTGTGCTGTTGAAGCTAGAGAGGTGAACAGAATAGGTCTGATTCCCTGCTCTGCTGACACCCAGCCCTTGGCACTCATATGACCTTATGCAGTTGCGAGCGCCGTAAAACCTGCTTTTTTTTTCTTTTTTTTAAAAGTTGTTCTCATGTCTGCTGATGTTTCATGTTTGACAGGTGTCCCTGGTTTTAGTAATGTGCCAGCATCAGAGGTCCAGATGTCCTTAAAAATTTTTTTTTTTTTTTACATTTTAAGTTTCCTCCATAGTTGAAAGTTACACAGAGATTGTTTTTTGGCTGGGTTTTTTTTTCTGACTGATGTGTATTGTTTTATTTTCAAATACACAACAAATTACTGATACTGATATGTTGTTTTCAATTTTTCTGTGCATAAAACATGAAAATCGTGGGTAGGTCTACAATGATGGGCAGTGCTACTGACTGAAGTGTCTTTAAGCCATTCCCAAAGGGGGCGCATTACCTGTTCTTATGCACAGTAGAATTGTAAATGGGCTGATCCATCAATGTCATACTCATAACTGCCTGAACTGCAACAGGGAACTGCTGCTTTTTCTTTCCTAATCTTTGCTATTGTCACTTTTCCTCTACTTCTTTTGTCATGTTTATCACACTCTTGTGACATGCTATTTCCGGGGTGCCCTGATAGTCGAAGCTGACTTTATGCTGTTTAGCTAGAGCGGTGAGCAAAGTAAGTCTGATTCCTTGTAAGGACTTATCAGTTGACATCCACCCCTTGGCGCTCATATAACCGTATGCAGTTACGAGCGCCGTTAAGCCTCTACTAAAGCTAAAGTTTATATTTTAAAAGGTTAATGTATGGTTTTGTTTTTTATTTTCAGAACGACAGCAGCTGCTCAAGTCCGCAGTGCTATCCGTCGTCTGAGAGAAATGAAGGAGATCTAAGTTAATAAAATGAGATAAAGTTTCAGTTGCGTTTTTGTTGTCTTTTTTTGGTTTATAATATTATATATTAATTTCCTGTTAGTGTTGTATTGTCCAGGTTCTTTTCATTATAATTATTTTTTATTTAAGTCAGGCCTACTACTACTAGTAACAACTACCACACAAGTACAATGATCATATGTGAAGCCTGCTGACAAAATGAGTTACTTTTCGGATTCAAGCTTTAATAGTTTCAACATTGGATGAACATGAATGAGTGTATTTGGATTTTAGTAGGCTGCTTAAGCCTGTTGCATTATATTGCGTGTCTTTGAATTTGGGATTTTTTCAGCACCATAGATTCGGTGATCTTCAAGGAATGGCTTGACTCGATGTCTTCCCATTTTAGTTTTAGTCTTGCGGTACAGCAGGCCTACTGGGTACAAGTCAGGAAAATTTTACCAACGGTGTTGTGGGGGGGGTGTAGATCTGTCTTGGTCCTTGATTCAAGTACATTTCATTCCTGTATGTGAGGCGAGCTGACAAAATGAGTTGCTTCTCGCAATCCACAAATGGAGATATTGGCCAAAATGGACATTGGGGTCAAATTTGTAGATTTTCTATTAATTCCATTATATTCTTAATTATAACCCGTCTTTTATTATTTCATACTTATAAATTGTAAAAACTTCACATGTAAGCATGATGTATACATTTCTTTAAAGCTTGAATCCGAAAAGTAACTCATTTTGTCAGCAGGCTTCACATATGATCATTGTACTTGTGTGGTAGTTGTTACTAGTAGTAGTAGGCCTAATCTACTGATTAAGAATGACATTTCAAAAATTGAGCTTTATAAGTTTCCTTAGCTTGGAGTTTGAATTCTCAGCATTTGGCATTTACTTTACTCAATGGTCCTAAATTTGTTCTTTGGGACACTATTTCTGATCAGTTCCTCCACCTTTGTCATCTTTTAGATGGATCACTAAAGAAGTCCATTTCAACATGGTAAAGTTCTACTCCCACTGAAGCATGATTGCTTTGTTTGTTTGTGTGAAATGCGGGCTATAAATACTGTGGACAAACATGCTCCGAATTCATCCCTTTTGTCACTTGCACTACAAAAGGATAAGTTGATGATTGCTCTGCGGTTGTACCAAACTGAGCAGGATCTAGGCTGAGTGATGCTAATACTATTACCACAGCAAAGCAAACAATAGGTTCACATGCTTTTATATAGCGTCAGTCTCCAGTTCTAGAGAACCTTATTCTTAGTTACGGTGACAGTGACATTTGAGTTATTGTTACAAGTTGCACAAAAGGTGTCTGTTTCACTCTGCTTGCATATTGGGGTCTGGTGCAGTGGTCAGGCGCTTCACTGTCATACACACGGGAGACTCGAGTGGTGAAAAATTTTGGTATCTGCAAGGATGAATCTCTCTCGGCCTGGGTTGGCCATGACTGACTGTGTAATGAAAACCAGTGTTGGAAGCCCTAAATGGTCTCAGTTGGGATATTTACTAAAAACTTGTTTAAAAAATATAAACTGTCAATTTGAGTCATGTGGAGGAATTTCACAGAGTGAGAGACTGCACATCTGCTCTGCAAAGTGTCTGGTATAGCCAAATGGCTGGTGTGAGGACTTGCGATTAACAGCGTAAAGGGTCTGCGGCGGTCTGAGGACCGACAAGTATCAGTATCAGATTAAAATTAAAAGTTTGGCAAGACTGGCTACAGTTTGTCTTTTCTTTACTTCTGCCACTAGTCAAGATGGCACTTGATGCCATCCCATATATATTATATACATGTAGTATACTGTCAACTTTATGTTTGTCCCAAAGTAGGCGGTGTAATTATAATGAGGTTTGACTGGACTTTTTTTTACGTCTTAGTTGACTTAGATCGTTTTTCAATTTTCAGTAAAGTCCAGAAATGTTTATTTGGACGTCAAAGTCAAAGGTGTTGACACACACACACACACACACACACACACCCCACCTGTTACGGGAAAAAATAAAAATTGCCCACTGGTCGGGACAAATGCTGAATTCTTTGATTTCATCATTTTGACAAGAGCCTGCTTTCACCACGATGACACAATTTATCAATTGTAGAAGTAGAAGGGCATATATATATATAAATCTTAACGTACTATAATAATGTACCAAAATCCTGAGCTACGAGGCGACAACTACATTATAATTAATATAATTTAGTTTTAATAAACGTGCAGTTACTAGTTAGTACCCTACATTAGGCTACTTAAGTTAAAATGTCAATGTGTACAGTAAAACCTAGTTATACTTGTCTTATACCGCCAGCATCGGGACAAGTGTGAAATTGGGAGTATGCGAATGGGAGGAGGGGGGGGGGGGGAGCTGGCAATATATTTTTTAGGATCTGTTGCTGTGATCCATACAAAAGCACAGACTGCCCAACGTCAAAAGAAATGATTCTGCCGTGACAAGATGGACAATGTTTGAATGACATCAATATTAATGGGCTACCAGACTGCCAGGGTACATTGTATTTCCTTTCGTACAATATTCTGAGTATGAGATGGGTTCCCAGACCTTACTTTTTGGTTGTGATTGTCATGATCACTCTAACTCTAAGCTGAGCTCTTTGTAGTCAGTCATGCTTGGGAAGAAAGGTAGATTTCATCATAGCACAGCTACTGAATGCCACGTAGTGTAATATAAATCTGGTGATGTTACGTTACCGTTACTGGGCAAATTTCTATTTGTACGTACGGTAGGCCTATCGTGAAACGGATGTAACGAATTTAGTGGGCCTGACCTTTGATTTTGTTGAACCTGTTTTTATAGTTACGTGAGCAACAAGTTGAGTCATGATGTGTACGGTAGGGCTTAACGTACGGTAACGTCTGCTTCCATTTCCACAGACGACGAGTGAGCAAGCAATTCATTATTCATGGAGAATTACATCTATTTCTAGACTAGCCTTTCATCACCTAACTTCGAAGTAGCCAGGGGGAGGGGGTGGAAATAAGTGAGACGCGTCTGTAGTGTTTCTCTGCTGATTTACCACGCCCAAAACACTCGTGCCTCCGCCCCTACCAATCCCCTCAGACACATGCACTATACTATAACGTAACAGTCACCCAACTGACCTGTCTTGACCCTGGCAAATACTGTACACTAAAGACACGTCAGGTCTTGCGACAACAACACAGTTGTGTGGTGAAGTGGTGTGACAGAAATCTGATCGGACGCATTATATTAATATTATAATATGGGAACCCTTATAATATATGATGAGGTGATAGGCTTGGCTAAAGCGTGTTAAATGTTATGATCCACGGTGCAAGTATCTTGGAATAGAGTACATACTACATGTAAATCAGATAAGGTTAACTGCAACTCTGTTGAATCCGACTTCGCTTAATTTATGTGTTTCATTTGAATCGCAGTAGTTCGTTGATTTTTTGGCAATGCATGTATAAAAATGGGGAATCCATTTTCTTTCGTTGAATCAGAGTATATTAGTTTAGTTAGGGCTGTACAATGTACTACTTGGGCGGATGGTGGTATAAAGAGGCAAATAGTAAGTTTTAATTATAGGCATTCCTTGTCGTGCAGTGGCAAAACCTTGTGGTATACTGTATGATGTAAAAGGGTTTGACTACTGTGTTACTGATACATGAAAAATAGGATGACAGGCCCAATCCAGTAGACTGGGATCAAATTCTGGACTCTGGCAATAGAACCAGAGATGGCATGTAGTGATAGATATATTTTTAATTTAATTATACAGTCAAACTTTATTACAGTCAGTGGAACTCGGGTTCAACGAGATGAGATAGATTCCCCGTTTTTTTTTTTTTTCTTCTTTAAAACTACAAAAAAAATAACTCGGATTCAACTAGCACTTAAATCAGCGAGCTCGGATTCAACGAGGTCACTTCTAGGGTGAACTGCCCCCGCAGACGTGGCTTCGCTCATTTTTCTACCAGAACGAACTTTATCTATTCCCGGAAACCATCCATTGCAACTGCATCGGGAACCATTATTCACTTGGCCGATTGCATGCGACCAATCAGCGGCCTTTTTTATCATACCAACGCATGCGTTGTTCAGTTGTTGGTTCGCGCACGTGTCTACTCTGGCGTGTGTCGGAGTCGGATGGGCGGCCTGCACACATGTGAGTGTGTGTCGGGGAGGAAGGGGGGCGCCCTAGCGATCCGGGCGTTGAACGTCGCAGATACAAACGTGTCACAATCTTTTTCCCCCCTCGGCAACTGATCATTATTACAACGATAAACTAGTCTTGAAGTAGACCTTCGTAATGAATTGTGCGCTTGTCTATGAAATCAAAAGTTGCCGATATGCTAGGATCTACACTGTGCACAACAACACAACTTTGTGGTAAACAATCAAGATGACACATGAATGCATTTGAACGAATCAGTCTTTTTTTTTTTTTACACAGCTCATAATCTGCGGGCATTTCACTACAGGCACTATTTGTGACTTCTCTTTATACATTACTTGCTCAGTGCCTGTAATTATCTACACAAAACCTCATGTTTGCTAATTTAACGAACACTTGGATTCAACGAGATTTTAGGTCATGCCCGGCGACCTCATTGAATCCGAGTTCCTCTGTATACCATACCCCTCTCCTGATAGTTATAACACCAGCCCTGCTTAATGCCAGGTTATGCCAATGTATATTTAATTTGTCACCGATTTGCACTGATTATGAAAAGGGCCAATATTTTTTTTAAAAATTTGAATCAAATTTTTAAATCGTTTGGAGAAAATTCAAAGGAAGTGCACCACTTCTACCTGTTGGAAAAGTCTCTGGCATCGCCAGATATCAGGCCAACAACTAAAAGCAAAAATGCGAGCGGACACCTGTGTGTGTGGCTTCTAGTTTTATACCGTGAGGACTCAAAATAGGTGGAAGGTCTGAGGTGACCCGAAGACTGACGACTTCTAAGGTCAGTATCATTGACCCATTTAATAGTAATAGCCAAGCTTCTAATCCGGCAGATATTTTGATTTTGATTATTTTTATGTAAAGTTCAGTTTGACCTGTACATAAAGTTGGTTGCTACTTGTTTTCCCCTGAACATGGCAATCGTGCAAGACATCTATCATCTAGATGAGTCAAGACTGGCCACTTTTATTTGTCTCTACCACTGTTCAATTTTTTAAAACTGCCATCCCCGCTGTACCGCCAACTCCATGCTTGTCCCAAGGTAGGCGGCATAATGGGGTTTGATTGTAAATATGTTGTTTGAGAAGTTAACTTGTGCATAATACACTAATATAGTTGCCTCCACCTAAGATCAAGGTGCTTGGAAGCTAGGAAAATATGTGATTTTACTTGATTCCACGGGGAATCGTGATCAGGCCCACAATCAGTAAAATGATTCTCCCTTACCTTGGAATGAAATGACATGACCCCTGGATGGGTTTACAATATGACTTATGTAGAGCAAAGAGTGGTTAAAATGGTTTGGCCATAATTATGATACGAATGCCACCTAATCAGCCAGCCTGGAGAGTCTAACACTCTGGCTATAGCAGCAACAGTTGTACAAATTTTTGCCATCCTCAAGTTTAAAATATTGTCTACTTGCAAAGAGAGGAGTATGGTACATGTACCTCTTGAAATCTTGAAAGATGTGCACTACAAGATCTCTAATTTTAGAATTATTAAAAGTTTTGAGCCGGTCTGCTGAAGTAGGAACCTGTCGCTTAACCTTGAATTGAGATACAATGTATCTTCAAAAATGAGATCAGTTTTGGTCCATTTTGAATTATGAATACCACTCAGTGGGGATTTCTCAACAATTTTAGATAATTCAAAGAGCTGTTTCTTGTAAACCGCTTGAAAAAATTTTCTCAATTTATTTTCTATTTTCATTCTTCAGATATTGAAAAGTAATTTAGTGTTAACTTTGAACGCTTTTTCTTAAGTTCTTATTTTTTCCACATTTTGTTCCTTCAAAATGCAGTACATCTCAGCTTCAAGAAAAGACAATAATTGAAAGTGCATAATATTAATAACCTGAAAGATCCCAGCTTTCAGAAAAGTACAAAAACTCAAAATAGTCCAGCGACGACAAGTTTCTGATTTCCCCAGAGACTGACTCACAATTATATTTTTACTGTAGCTACTATAGGCCCACTAGGCTACAGGAACTTTTCACCCCCCCCCTCCCCAAGTCTATTTTGGGAAGCCTCCCCAAGTCTATTTTGGGAAGTGAGGATCATTCAAATTGAAAACCTTATGTTTGTGAAAACAGGTAAACAACACAGACAAAGAAAATGAAAAGGTCAACATATTCACTTTTTCAAAAATAAATCTATTTTTCAACGTTTTTACTACATAGATATTCTCCCTGACCATGAACAGTCCAGCAGGCACTAACAAGTTTGACAATGGGACAGACTAAAACTGTAATAATTGGCACACTATAATACTGCAGGTAAAATATGATATCCCCAACACTGATGACATCCAAGACGAGTAGCAATCCATGTGACGCATTGTCAAGGAAACGTGCTCTCCAGTACAGAAGGACATTGTGAAAAATGTTGAGATCAATGGGAACTGTGACTAGGTGACTCTGAAAACAAAAAGCCAAAAGACACGTAGATGTTAAAAGAGAGAAAAATGTACATGTACACTCATGATTTGAAGAAGGCATGCCACTATGCCAACGAAACTTTGTATGGCACTTCCACAGACCAGCGACTAAATAAAAATATTATTAATATTTAAAATCTTGATCCAGAAATAGAAAAGTTTTTTTATTTGACCCTCTATTAAAAACCGCCCTTTTGACACATACACAGGAACTGTAAAATTAATAATTTACTGTAATCAAGCTCACAGATTGCTCACTTTTAGACAACACCACCACGCTGCCTCCACATTTCAGTGTAAATTTGTACATTCCATCCCACAGCTGTCTAGACATCTCCACGTGGTTTCGAAAAGTACTCACCCCGTCTCTTGGGCCATGCTTCATAGGCGAGCATTAGATTAGATTAGAGTGTGGTGTTGATGAAAATATGTTAAATTTTTTAAGTTTCAGTTTTAGGTGTTTGCTGTAAATTATCCCCAATTGTAACCTTTTTTTACCAGCTTTAGGCTTATACAGTGGAATCCTGTTATAACGAGAGGGAGGGGACCGGAGCAAACTGTCTGTTATAGCAGGATTCTCGCTATAAGGGGTCCAGTAATAAATTCAAGGGAAACTGTAAAGTAGGCCTTATCTATGAGTTTGGTGTTCTGTTTATTTCCTTTTGCTATCTCCCCTGATGACGATTTTGTTTCAACATGACCTCTAGGTCTTACTTGATCAAAAATCGAATCATGTTTCTTTCTCTAGCGCTAGATCTAGCGATGTGGACTGACAGCTCGGCGTTGGCGATCAGAAAGGAAGGGCTCTGGGCTAACTCACCCGCATTGTTTTCCCCCTCCCCACCACACCCTGTGGTGCACTCTGTCTGCTTGCACACGTCACACATTCGCTCCATCCATCACATTGCTGTGACCTCTCCATTCCCGCATCAAAGAAGTGAGAGTGAGGCACAGTAGGCCTTGATAATCTAAACTAGGCTTGCGCTGGCTTATCACACGATGCGTTCTGCTTGTCTGCGCATGCCACACCCTCCCCACTCATTCGCTACGGCCTTCATTGTTGACACACATGGGCTCTCCTATTCTTTGTTTCGCAAGATCACCAACAAATTTCTCAACCGGCGAGGTTTTACGTTAATGTATAATTGGCCTATGCACTATGCACGGCAGCAGCAATATTCCGCTATAACCGACTCTCATGTTTGTCTGATAGCGCTATAGCAGTACTTTGTTTACAAATGTGATGAGGAGAAAAAAACGGGGTTTTAGAATAGTGTCTTTATAACAGACTTCTCGTTTTTTCCGGACTCGTTATAAGTGGACTCCACTGTACTACTAATATCAAATAAAACGTGTCGGAACTTTAGTTTGCAGTAACCTTCGTGAATGGGCTTTGATGACGAACAGAATCTGAAAGCCCATTCATGAAGGTTACTGCAAACTAAAGTTTCGACACGTTTTATTTGATATTAGTATTAGCCTAAAGCTGGTTAAAAAGGATAAATAACTAAGCAATAACTAGAGAAAATTAAACAGAGTGATTTCGTTTTTATCTGGTTTTAACTATGGTGAGACAAAAGTGAACAAGCTATAGATTAAAGATGGCAGTCGGTGCTGTGCCGTTATACCGCAAGCCCCACTGTAGTACAAACTTAATGCTCGTCCAAAGGTAGGCGGTATAACAAGGTTTGACTTAGAAAATTCCAGTACATGAGCTTAGGTTGCTGTCAGGCGAAGGTTGCTCTTATAGTTATAGACTGTGTTGCTTGCATACTGATAAGTGGACATCAGTGTTCAAGATAAAAAGCAGTAAAAGTAACAGAGAAGGGATAAACATGCAGGGCAAAGGGATAAACATGCAGGACAGAGAGTAGGTTTATATAATATATAAACCGACGACAATCAAGATCATGTGATGTCACAGCCTTTGTCTGTGGCTTAGCCTCCTCTGAGGTTTTGTTATTATTGTTGAGGTTACACATTATAAATGTTTTAGAATACTTTTTAACACAACAGAAAGATTTTTTTTTTTTTACCATTGATTACAATCACTACTGCACATGACTTATTACAATCGATAACACACAAGAATACTTTACTATCGCCAATAGTATTAGTAGCAATTTATATTATATTACAAAGCCAGAGAAATTTGTGTATTACTGTTACGCAAACAATGGAAATTGGACGGTGACAAAAAATTAAATGAGCGAAAGTATATATATATTGATCTATATGCCAACATGTTAAAGTTAAAGTTAAAGCACTACTTTTCTTAATAAATCAAAACATTTTCACTACTTTGCACTTTTAAGAAAGAAATACATGAAGCAGAGCCAAAGCTCATTGTTTCCTATTTGATTAAAATGCCTTAAAACAGAAGTATTTAAATTATAATTTTTACCTTCTCCTCAATCATACAAAGTATTTATACCAGATGTAAAGAGTAGGCCCCTACTCAATAAAAAAATGCAAGATATATTCAGAAAACTTACCAATGAATCAGAATATTTTTGCACACACTTTACGACTTGCTTCTCCAAAGAATAAGCAAGGAGGAGTCCATGGGCCATAACCACTGTCCATGTTCCAATGACTATCAGGAGGCACGTCCTGTTAAAACCAAAGTCATAAATTTTTTATTTTTTGTACCGTACATATATGTTTCAAATTGTAAAACAGACAATCTATCCTCTTATACCTAACCCTGTGAAGGCATAATAGTAACTGTCCATGAAATGTGAGTATATTAACTCCAAAGTTTTGTCTCACCCTGCATTGTAGGCCTAGGCCTACTACCGCAGTCAAACTAAAATCGAACTTTGGTCTCACTATCAGAGATAAAAAACTTAACAGCAACAGAGCTGGGACACCAAAAGGAATTGGGGAGTATTTCTGTCACTAGGTCAGTCAGTAGAATGAAGAATTGAGTCTGTTATTGCAAAAAAATTTTGGTTTATGATTATAAGAAATGCAAAAATTTCTCATACAGGTACATAATTTTTTATAAAGCAGCTAAATTCATAAATTCAAAACATTCATGACTTAAACATCATCAATAAAAATGAATTTGGGCATAGTTAATTTGTTGGGTTTCTTTTGTCAGAAAATGTATAGGTATAGGATAGGCCATTTTGACTAGAGCGCATTGTAGTGTAACCTTACACCTGTTTTTTTTTCATACTCATACATATATATATATATGGAAGAAAATGAAAGGAAGTACATATAGCTGGGTGCACCCACTACAAATGTTTAATAAACTTTTCCTTTTAGACTCTCAATACCAAACTTGCCCCTAAGGTCTCAACTTAGTTCTTCCTCTAACGCTTCATCCGAAGTAAAGGCATTTGTCTGGGTACAGCAACTACACAAAACCTCCTCATTTCTGTTCTGACTATGACAATGAAAGAGATAATAATTTGACACAAAAAAAAAAAGCCGTTTAGAATCTAGTTTATTTGAAAGACAATGACAGATGCACTTTTGGAAAATGTTTAAAACGCCAGTTTTGATTCTGGTTCATGAAATGGTCTCTTTTTAGATTTGGAACATATTAATTAGAAACCAGTCTAAAAATTGACTTTTTCATGAATCAGAGTCTAAAGACGAATGGTAGCAATCTGGGAAGGCAGCACATTATAAAAATAAACAAGTTGATAAGAAAGGCATCAAGAACAATTGGTAGAGACCTAAGTAACTTTGAATATCTGCACAAGACAAACGTTCTAAAAAAGGCGGAAATAGTGCTTAGTGACCATAGCCACCCACTGACATCAGAATTTCAACTATCAACCCGCAGTAAAGGATACATTTCCAAAAAAGCAAGAACAGACAGATATAGATTCATTCGTACCAACTGCAGTGAGGTTACTGAACACACAGTGCTACAAATGAAACAGAGAGAGAGAGAATGAATGTTTTACGGAGCGGTTGTCCCAGCCCGTGAGACATGTATTTACTTAGCCTAATGTCCTGTCTTGTTGTGCGTTTGCGTGAGTGCACCTTTAAGTCTAACTTTTGTAACGTCTACTGCCATTGTTAACGACCAAGACAAATTTCTCCCTGCAAGATGAATAAAGATTGTCATTGTCATTGTCAAATATATATAGGCTACTCAAAGTTTCACTCACCATTTTCTGATTCTTGAAGGTGTTAACTTGTTCTTGGCCAGTATGTTGTCTAGTAGGTAGTATACTAGCACACCTAGTCCTATAAGATAGCTAAAGATATAAAGCTGATAACTCGATGTCGTCACCGGCATATTGAAATATGATTGAACTTGATTCTGAAAAGGACATAACAAAAATCTCATAAATATCAAATGATATAACTATAACCATAAATGAATACTGTGCTTTACCCTTTGCAAGGACCATACAGAGTGTAAAACGAAAGACCTCACGGTTACTGTTTTGCAGATGATCAAAGAGAAGGACTGATAAATTTAACACACTTAGATTCCGTTATTATTAAGGTCCTTTTGCTTTTATGCTTGCTCTGTACATCACCGATGTGCTCTAACCATATTATATACATGTAAATTGGTGTATTTAGTCTGATTCAGGCTTTCTTAAGATAACTTTATGAGAACATTGTTTTGCTTTAGTAAGATTTTTACAGCACTTGCAACACAATTAGGTGACATAAGTGCCGAAGATAAGAGGTGTTACTTTTAAAGAGTAACATACAAAGAAAAGAAGGAGGAGTTAAGGACGACAGATATATGACACAAAAGTCGGGACAAACCACACCAGAAATCAAAGTCCACAAAGCAGGGTTGGTGATTTTTTTGATTTTTAAAATTTAAATCAGATTTTTTTGATTTTCTAAAAAATGTCGACACAGTTTGGGATTTTTGGTGGCTAAAAGTATGTTCTTTTAGTGCAGAATGCATTGTCTTTATTTTAACTAATGATTAATATAAGCAACTGCAAAAGAAAGCCTTAATCTGCTATTATCAGTGAATTATGGCTACAGACAAAAAAATGAAGAAAATGTCAGTCTAAAAGGAAAGGGGGGGAGGGGGTAATTATGCATAGATAAACTTGTATTTTATTACAGTATGCGTGTGTGTGTGTGCGCGCTTGTGTTTGTCTAAAAAGAAAAAGAAAATGCCAATTTCAATTATGAAAAAAAAGTAAATTGAATACTGTATTAATTAACTACTTACAGTGACAGGGGGGAAAGCAGACTTTTAAGCATGATTATTATATTAGTCTACTAAACCTTATATCTGTTTTATAAAACCAAGGAAAGGAATTCTGAATGTTTAAAGACGTAAAAACAATACATTTTTAAAAAGTGATTGAAATCACTGAGGTTTATTTTTAAAATCCAAGTTGATTTAAATTTTTAAAAATCAACTGATTTAAATCAACCCAGCTCTGATTTCAACATGGGGAAAAAAGTAAATTGAATACTGTATTATTTTACAGTGACAGGGGGAAAGCAGACTTTTAAGCATGATTATATTAGTGTACTAAACCTTATATCTGTTTTATGAAACCTAGTAAAGGAATTCTGAATGTTGAAATATGTAAAAACTTAATAAAAATAAATTTTAAAAAAAAGTAATTTAAATCACTGATTTTTATTTTAAAAATCAAGTTGATTTACATTTTTTTAAATCAACTGATTTAAATCAACCCAACCCTGCCACAAAGAGTCAAGAAGTAGCCTACACACCTACAGGCAAAAGAAGAACAGGAAAACCAAAGAACTTCAGGAAAGAAAAGTCAAAAAAAGACCTACAAACAACAAATGGAAAAGACGGTTAAGAGGCTCACTAAGCTGCATAGAAAAAACTGTAGGTCCAGGTGACTTGTCACACAGGATAAATCTAATATTTACTCTTCACCTGTCAACAACAGTAGTACTAGTATACAATTTACAACAGCCAATCATTTTAATTTCTAAATCGACCTGCTTGCTAACCAATAAAAAAATTGTGAATACTTAATAAAACCAGTCTAAATTCTATAAACCATCCTGTCAGACCTTTCTTCTATAATACATTTGTTAAGTAGTTACATCATGTAGTTGTCTGTAATATCCTTTGACTCACTAGTGAAACTGATTTTGCATCATGTGTACAGATGAAGACTGGGATTTCAAAAGTTCGCCATGGCGATCGACCTACCTTTTTCTAACTTCTGATTGTCCAAGAATTATTTCTATTATAATAAAAAAGTTCAAGAATTCCAAATACAAGATACATTTCTCCTTTTGTGTGTAATTATAACAAAAATATACCATGTTTAGTGTTATTCTTTAATTGTCCAAGAAACTTACAGTCAACTCAAGAAGTCCAGTGTGCCACAGCAAGACTTGAGTCCGAAGTTGCTCTTCATTTGTAGTCCTCAATATACTATTATTGGTACAAAACGTCTGTACCAGGGTAGTATAATTCTGTAGCTTTTGGAAAGAGTCACCTTCAAACGGGAAAGACAAATACACAATGAAATGGTTTTAAAGAATCTAATTATGGTGAACGTTTTCATGAAAAGCATATTTTACATGGCCTCAGAGTCAGAGCCTGTTGTACCGTAAGGTTCAGGTAGACTGGAAATACAAATTACAGCCACAGCTTTACTGACAATTAAGTTCCTACAAAACAAACATTATTCATGACAACAAACACAAAATCAGTAAGTTATATAATTTTATACAGTCTAGCAGCCACATTGTGAAATCAGTGGGACGTGGAAATCTTTTCGTTCTGTACGACATTCCCCTTCGCTGTGTTCATGTTTTGAATACAAATATTATACACACATATTAAATGGATTCACCGAACCACACTCTCATCCCCCCCCCCTCCAAAACCCCCCAAACCTAATATCTTACTCTTAATATTGCCCTTCTTTCGCCCTTCATCTATCAAACAAACAGCCTGTGGGACTCCTGACTGTAAGATCTTGTTCTAAGAAAATACCCCCTCTGTAATGTATAATAAGTTTACAAGCATTGAATAAAACTCCCAAACCTTTTCCCATTTGATAACACTTTACAGTACATTTTACTGATTTGTACAGCTTATACCCACAACTATCGTTAACTAAATCCTACGCAGTTCTGAAATAAACTCCTTCACCCTTAGAGAAGGGGCATAACTCCATATAAAATTACAGTGTTGCATGCACATATATCGAACAAGCACATAGCAAACAGATTTTCAAGTTTTGAATTTTTTCATGTATATATGTACAAACGTACAGTCAGGCACAGCTAACAGTAACACGAACACTCAAAACTCTAAATCAATGATAGATCTTAACTATGCCAATCCCCGACTGAACAGCAATATTTTCTTTGTATTGGTAACACTGCGTCCTCAAAAACCCGTACCGGTACAAGTTTGTCTCTTGTCAAAAAAATATGATCAAATTTTTCTTCACAATTGTCTCTAATTCAAATCACTCTGTACTCACAATGGAAAACTATACACCCATCATTAAATTATTGAGAATATCAGATTACATGAGCCCACCACGCTTGCCCCTGGACAATGTGATCACGCAATTCTTTCATTGAGACACATCATGGCACATTACCTGTTGTGCGTTTAATACCCAGTGCCCATTAACACGATCGGTTCGGTTTGGTTCGGTTAGCTAGCCAGATTGAGGGCGCAAGGCGGCTATCGTGGCACAAACCGATCGCCTGACTCGTCGCTTAAAAAACAAATGCGTTTGTTTTCAGGTGTTGAATCGGGCGATCATTTTGTATTAGAGAACCCCAATGGGCACTCCATATTAGACATTACAAATTCACTGAACTTGTCATGTGAGGGTGGGCGCTGGGTGGTGGGGTGTTATTGAAGAAAGATATTGTGGTGCTGCACTGGGCCATACGGTGTATGAATTTTATGTTTGTATACACGAGTGTGTGTGCGTGCGTGTGTGTGTGTGTGGTTGTTTGAACATGAAGGTATGGACCCGAGGTGATTACACTTACACAGCTTACACAAGAAGCGTGGGTGGCTCTGGTTAGATCGTCCTGATCATGATCTGACGTAAGAGCCATCTTATCTTAGTCATATAAGGCTCATCAGAAACACTCTTCCTTTCTCTTGCCTCAACACCAAACAAGGTACATGCAGATCCATCCCTCCGTCTGTTTATCAATACCAGGTACTTTTCATGACCGAGGGGAAAAGAAAAATTAATTGTCTGACAATAGAAACCAAGCACCAAGTTTTAGCAGAAGTTGACAGGAATTCCTGCACTTAGAGAGAAATTTGTAAAACTAATTAGAGATTTTGTATCTCCAAATCAACCCTTTCCCCGTTTTAAAAGAAAAATCAAGATAAAATCTTAATGCCAGCATCAGATGTCAACCCGACAGAAAGCAAGCACACACTGCCATATTTCAGAACATCCAGCTCACATTGTTTCAATGGTTCCAGCAAGCTGTGCCATCTATCTTGCATCCCATTCTGATGATAAAAGCAGACGAAACTGCAAAGAAACTTGGCCCTGACTTCTCATAAAACACAGGATGGTTGGAAGGGTTGAAAAAGAGACACACCGTCACTCACACAGCTGTCTATAGAGAATCATGTGCTCCAGTAAATCCTATACAGAGATTTAACTCCCGAGCGTTGTGCCTGTACCGTGAGTAACTTCCCTTGGTTTTCTTCAATATCTCTCTAATTTCCCCTTTTATCTTTTATCACATTTATCAACCCTTAACCTGTTTGAGTTTACTGTGCCCTAATATATTCTTTGTATTTAAAACACTTAAAATAGAAATTCGTAATTACGAAAAGACTTCCACTGATTTAGCCATATGCGTACTATACTGTATGTAACATTTAAAATCAATTGTCTACAAAAACAACCAAACATAATAAATATGTATATATATATCAATAAACTGCAAAAGATTGGCCTTATCAGGTCACTTACCATGCAATGTCTGTAGTATTAGCTTTGTAAATATACACAGTGCAACTGCTTGAAGTGAAAGCTTCACAACCTCTGATTTGCTTAGCCTCATCTCCTTCATGTTGGGCCATAAAGACACACCTCCTCCAGTTTGCAGCTGGTCACTTCTTTTGCGAATAGCATTGTGTTTACGTATTAGCTGGCGCTGCTTCTCTCTCATAGCTCCTGAAACAAAAAAAACGAAAGGATGGATGACGGAGAGACCAACAAAGGGATTGATTCTAAAAGAAAAACTGCTCTTTTGAACAGCAGTAAGAGCATGACCAGTTATGTTTGTAAAAAGGCAATGAAAGAATTCAGGTTTGTTACAGAAGAACACTTTGGACATTTTCTTTTAAAATTAAAACATTTCCTTCATGGTAGTACAAATATAGTCAAACCTCATTATACCATCCCCTTGTTATACCACCAGCCCCACTTACCGCCAGGTATTGCCAATGTATGAAAAGGAACGCCTTTATAAACATAGTATTCGGGCCTTTACACCACCATCCAGAGTTAAAAACCTGTACCTGTACAGGGTCCTGGACTCACATATATATATTCTACCTTAGCTTCTAATCCGACAGGAATTTTCAATTCGGATTTATGTAAAATTCAGCTGGAGCTGTATTTGTAACTGGTAGCTAGTTTTCTTTTCCCCCTACGTTTGGCAATCATGCAAGACAGATCTGCATGAGGCAAGACTGGCCAGTTTTCTTTTAAGCTCTAGACTTTATTAGTCTTTACCAGTCGACCACTAGTCAAGACAGCAGTTGGTGCTATTTAACAGAGAACATTAAAAACCTGTATACCAGCAGCTCAGCTGTTCTGCCAACTTCAAGCTCTTCCTAAGGCAGGTGGTATCTGGGCTCAACTGTACTCTTCTCCACCATCCCCCAAAAATTATTGCCAAAAAGTATTTGTTGAAAGAGCTTTAGTGTGCAAAAGATGTTTCAGAGTAAGTTGTAATTTCTCGATACATCAATATTCACTTTAAAAAATAAAGCATGGGGATAGATTTAAACATGTTTTGGGGTGCTACATGCAGGGGCGAAGGCTGACTTGTTTGACAGGGTAATCAAAGTGAAACGGGACCAGATATAGATCTATATGGCCTGTAGATATCACAGAAGAATCTTACTCGAGGCGGCGACTCTGAGTTGTGAATGAAAACAAATCCGGAATTCATATTGTATGTTCAACCGCCAAAATAATCGGGAAAGTATCTTATTAAACATCAGTTCCAACTAAAATTAAATTAACTTTAGATGTGAACACATAAACACAAAGCAAAGAAGCAGAGATGTCAGTACTAAATCTATATGTTATAGACCTACCAGAGAGTCTAACTCTTTGGTAGAACATGACAATTATCATTTTTTAAATTTCACATTTGACTGTTTTTGTTAGCCTTTCGCGGCCAGGAGCTGGTGTCATAATCGAGGTCACGATCTGATTATAGGACAGTAAAAAGTCGAGGAAAAAAAACAAGCACATGCAGCAGTAAAGAGATTGTTAGGAGTTAGTTCCCCTCACATTTGTGAGGTAGACTCGACCAGTGTTCGTTAGCTTACTTAATCAGGGCTTGGGATTGATTATAACTGTGGCCCCAAAGGGGTGAACAGGGTATATGTGGCAATGAAACAGCCATGACTGCTATGCACATGTTCCCTCAACTGTATTGGCATTGGTAGACTCTTCCAGCCTCACTTTAAGCTTACTTAATCAAAGCTTGCGACTGCTTATGGAGTGGCCTGAGAGGGGTGAGGAGGCTATTTGTGTGGCCGTGAAACCGTTTTGAATGTTAGGCATACTCATTGTGGATTACGAACCTCTTTTTACTTTTAATTTAAGAGGTTTACGTTTAAGGATGAATTTGACAGTGACAATGTTTCAAAATTAGGAAGGGAAGCAGTGATTATTTGATTATATAGACGCTTCGCCCCTGGCTACATGTACTGATTTATATTCAATGAAAAATTTGAAGGCATAATTGATCATTGATTCAACATAACCTTTACTATCTATCAAAATTAGAGGAATGATAACTGTTACTGAAAACAAATACAATTATTTTAAAGATTATTTACTGGTACCCTTAAAAAGAACCATAAAAATGAAAATGAGTTAGTAGATAAGCAGTTCTTCCCTTTTTATTCAACACACACATAATTAAGAGCAGAGACAATGTCTTTACCTGGAGTCATTCTAAGCCTTGCCAATCCTGGACTGACTTTGTCATCTACAAATGAAGCAACAGTGCTTATACTGCCCACTCCTGTGTACCTCCAAGGTGGAGGTGTACAAAGGCTACTACTGGTGACATCATAATGATTTCCAGAAATAACATTTTCCTCCTTGCCGTTACTGAAAATGCGAGTACTTGTTTTGACGACAACATCAGGAGTTCTTCGATCTGAGGTACCCGACTGAACCGGCGACCTCCCAGGTCTTGAACTCGACTGAAGTGGGGATTTCCCAAGTCTTGACCGCAGATAGCAGTGAGCAAATCTTGTTTTTGGTGTTGCCTGGTACACAGGTTCCTGTACACCTGACTGACAACCAACAATCTGGGGCTGCGAATCACTTGTCATCATGTCATGCCCAAAAAACCTGAAAAACAAACATTTTTATAGTAGTAAGTAATCAGTTATACAGTAATGAATAAAGTTCAGACTTTCATCAACAGATGTATGAGGAGTATCCTAAGAATTAAGTGGCAGGATAGAATAAGAAATGAAGAGCTGTGGGAAAGGACAGGGCAAAAGGACAGAAAGGATAAAGGAAAGGAAAGGATATATATAAAAGTACATATAGATAGGACTAAGAAAGTGGCGATGGATAGGACACACCTTCAGAAAGCCCAGCAGAAACATCACAAGACAGTCGCTGCAGTGGAACCCACAGGGAGCATGAGGCAGGGGTAGGCCACGGGAAACATAGAGGGGATGTGGAAAAAATTTTCCCACACTATAGACAATACTATAATCAATAAATTATAAGTGGCATATATATTGAACAAGCCTGTCGTCATAAGGGAAAACCAAGAATGGTCACATGCTGGTATTATAAGGCAATTTTTTTAGGAGAGGCAGGAAAAGTCTCTCCCTTAGAACTCTTCTTTTTTTTAAAATTCTTTTATGCTGTAATGCAGCAGTTATCTGGTTAAGATGCTCATAAATCTTTTTCAAAAGTCTGCACTCTTGAGATTGAGAAAAAGCAACGTCATCTAGATCTATGCTGGATTCAGACAAAATGTCTTTTTGGCACCAATTTGTTTTATTTCGCTAAAAATTGAAAACCTGGTCAGTTAGTTACCCTACTAGTGTGAAAAAAATCAAAGTGAAACTGTGACTAGTTTTTTAATAAATCAGAATTCAAATTTGGGAAAAGCACCTTTTTAAAAGCCTCTTTAAAATCTTAAATATAAAAACTGAGCGTGCTGTGAATGAAAAAAGAAGCGTTTTGTCAGCTTATTTATGGCAGATCTAACATTGGCACTCTCTCTTATAGAGCGCAGTAACAGGTGAGCCTTGTTATGTTGTATGTGTAAAACTGACGAATGGTGCCGTTTGGCGTTCTCCCTTACACTCATCATAGATTGTTACATCGGCTTGGGCGATGGTCAGGTTGTAATGTATCATTGACAGTGATGACTGTGTACAGAGTGCTACAAAAATGTATACAAGAAGCAGGTCTTACACAAACTAATGTCGAAGTATACATGATGAAATTAAGTGTTTGTTTGAAAAATGTTACTTTTTTTTAATCAATGAAATTTTTCCGATAAAATTATTGATTTTATAATTTCCCCTCTGCATTCATCCACTGTCGTAATTATAAAAATACTGTTTTTGAAAAAAATTTATAAAAATGCAGCTTTAAAAAAAAAATCAACACCAAAACAAAAATATAATGTTTATTTCAACAGCAGCCTTATTCCAGACAGTAAGAAATTTTTTTTGTATCTTTCTTTTTGTGTGTTCATGGTACATATCTGCCGCAGCCTGATCTTACAATTTGTAGTGCGGATAGGGGATCATTTATAGAGCTGTTTAATTGTTTTTTATAAAGTTGTAATCATCAATTCTTTATGTTATGATTTGGTTGAATTTTTCTGTCTTACACCCTATAGTCTAGTTTCCAGCCTATTAGCAAACAAAGCAGCAACACGCTTTCGATCATGGAATGGTAAAAAAGGGACACAATCTTATTATCAACATGAAAACTTCTTAATTTCCTTCAAAAGAACATTACTTTCATAATTCTTTGATTCATGCACAAGAGCAGCATAATATGGGAATGCCAGTCTCACTTGTTGATGGTTACTCTAAGATATTTGTAGGAGTTTACAACCTCCACTTCCTCACCTTTAATGAATAGCAGTTACAGTTGGTCTCTTTTAACTCTTAAAGTCTATAAAATTAATTCCTTTGTCTTTTTTACATTTTTAGGAAAAGGAAATGGTTATAATCACACCAACTTGTAAAAATATATATTTTCAGAGTCCCTATATATATTCATTCTCATTCGTTGGTATTTATAGGCCATGGAGAGTAGAATGAATCACCCACAAACTATTGATTTGATGTGTCTGATAATCGAAAGTACAATCTTTGGTGTAGAGTGTAAAAACAAGACATCAGCAGCAGAAGCTTTTCAATAATCTTAAGTTTCTTTTCCATAACAACACCTCTTGGTTTTGATCTTGCTGCATTGGTGGGATCATAGTTTTTCATGAGAAAATCGAACATTCAAAGAACGAAGAAAATTTGTCTCAATCCTCGCTCACATACAACTTGAGCAATACCACTCAGAACTTTCAGCACCCACTTTTTTCAAGTTTAAGTCATTCATCCGGATGAAAAGTTGAAGAAATCTAGAGCAGTCAATGAAATCAGTTTACAACCAGCTTTGCTGATAGCAGATTGCGATTTCCACAGTCCATTTAATAAGAAAGAGACTTTTTTTCTGTCTCACTCTAAGCTTTGCCTCAATAGTGGCTTGCATACTATCTGCTGATATCGTGAATGAGTCACCTGGTTCGAGGAATTTGATAGTGATAGGCATTTTATGTTAGTTGACCAGATCCCTGAGCGCAGAGTGAGAAAAATCTATAGCATCCCATTTTTATTTTGTGAAGCGAAATTGTCTGCTCAGATGGTAGTCTAGACCTAGTTGTTTCTGCATCCCTCTTACTCTTGGTCATGATAAACTTCTTGTACAAAAGCCAACACTGTGTTCTCATCCTTTCATCCTAAGATTGCCTCATCAAATGAAAGCTGTACTGTGTTTGCTATATTGGAAGAAATGACTGCGAATGTTTGCATTGAAACAGAGTTAGATGACTGGTGAATATTGACTTAAAGAAAGGCTGACTAATGTTTTGAGTTTTGAAAGTCAAAAGCTGCTGAAGCATCCACCTTGTGTAGGATTGTCAGGCTCAGAATATATCTCTTGTTATTGTTAAAAAACACAACGCCATTCTCACACACTTCTTTAAAATTAAAAAGTTCAATATATAGGCATTATTATTATAACATTAATTGTGAATGTCACGAACTGCTTAGTTCACAGTGCTTTTGTAGTTGTAGCCTACTAGGCTACACTAACTAGGCTACACTACTTACTCAAGTTCAAGCTTTGCAAATGAAATTCTGTTGAGAGATAATCTTAAGACACAGGAGCATGCTCTTCCACCAGACTTTTTAACCTGTTGCTGTCCATAAATTTTACTCTCTAATTCTAAGTCTAGAATCAAATTCATGTCTGCCGCTTGTCTTGTTGTTGTAATAAACTACTTCTGCTAACAAAATAGTCTAGCCTAGGCTTATGTCAGAACGATTCTTGAATGATGAATGATTGTATGTGTTGTCCGTTAAGTCTCAAATGGCAGGTAGTCTAAGCGAGTGAATCAAATGTTAATTACCTCGGAACTAGGGACTGAGTTAGAAAAACTCAGTATTCAAGTTGCTCTTCGGCTTTGGCGATTCTCTGGTGGATGCAGGATTCAGGCCGACCCACTCCTTGGTCTGTCTCAGGGTCAAGAACGCAATAAATACTATACGATGCACGTATTCCGGGTTTTAAAAGAGACCAAGAATAACAGCAGTTACTATGCAAAATCTGTTAGCTCTGCTTTTACTAAGCACAGTAATAAAATTTTTAAAAACCACGGAGCTTGCAGTTGAAACTGGCGGGTCTGGCTGGTTAGCGTGGGCTGTTGCTTTGTTTACTACACGAATCTTGATGAAAACGTGTTCCTTCACAAAAGATTTTCTTCTCTACCCACAGAATTCTACCAGAGACACTATAATTAAATACTCTCTGATTCTACAATAGAACGGGAACTGTACCACGTGACCTGTGAGGAATTGAAGACCGAAAACAATGGCGTCTTGAGGGCACGATTTATCGTTTTCTCTACAAAAGAGGTTAGCCCGCAGAATTCTACACTTAAGTGTAGAATTCTGTGGGTTAGCCCGAGGATACCGATTTATTTTGGTAGCCTATTAAAAAATTCAGTAGGCTATTATGATTATTGGCCTCTTTGTTCTTCATTGGTATCTTATACGGCAAGTTTGCCTTTCACTATTGGCATATTTTGATGCAGAGATCGACGCCAATTAATTTCTTAAAAATATTACACAACAGGCGTTGTGACTTTACTGTGGCTACAACGCACGTAGCGAAATCGGCGGGGTAGGAAAATCTTCTCGCTGTTGGGCCTTTTCGAATTTTTATTCACTAGGCATGCAGTTTGTGATCGAGGGCCTTTAATTGGTGTTTCAAATACAAAGAGTATAATCAAAACGAAGATTACAAATGTAAAGAAAAGTATTCGGGACCTGTTCACTATGAGTATGAGCATGTTTTGCAACGTGCGTTCTTGACTGTTTAAACACACACACACACACACACACACACACACACACACACACACACACACACACACACACACACACACACACACTCACTCACACAGTCACACACTCTCTCTCTCTCTCTCTCTCTCTCTCTCTCTCACACACACACACACACACAGACACACACACACACACACGCACAAACACACACATACACACACACACACTCACACAGTCACACACTCTCTCTCTCTCTCTCTCACACACACACACACACACACACACACACACACACACACAAACACACACACACACACGCACAAACACACACATACACACACACACACACACACACACACGCACACACTCGCGCGCGCGCACACACACTAACACACGTCCAATTGGTCGCTTTTAAAAACAAGGGAGCTATCTCAAAAATGTTGTTTTGAGAAAATCGAAGGTAAAGTTTTTAGCCCCTCGTCTTTAAAAGACAAGGAGAGTTATCCCTATAACCAAACAAATACACACCAATGAAACCAAAATTCTCCTAGGTAGAGCGCGCAATGCCCACTTTTGGTGCAGGTCAAGATTTCTGGAAACTTCCTTGTCCTTGTAGAAGCGACCAATTTGAAGCTGGACAAATTCTGCATCATCTGACCCATTAATAATTTATCTATGTTAAGAGACACTCGAGATGTGCTCACTCAAATCATAACTTGTGCGAAATCAAAGTTCTAAACGTAAATAAACTGTCTCGTGCGTGTATTAAGGTGCATCAACATCCATGATCAACATATATAGGCCTACTGTTGAAATGGGCATCGCACTGACTATTAAATGAAAAGAAAATATTAATGACTCCGCAATAAAAGCATCTTCTGGAAAACAGGTAGTCACAAATACTACGCAAACCTGGACTTAACTTTACATGTGCACAATTTCGTTTTTGTTTAGGAGCTAACAGTTATAGAAGTACTGGCTTGGCGTAGAGCTCGAAACCTTTTTTGCACATGGATTGTGTTAGATTTTTGACATAATCATTTGTCAGTGAGAATTATAGAGGTCACATAAAGTGCAATAATTTTGGGTGGTCTGAGGTGGAACGGAGATGACTTGTTACTTTTTTGTCTCCGGGTGGAATTAAGAAAACCGCCCCCGTTTAGTTTACTACATCGCACAAGTGCTGAAACGTCACATCTTAGGCCTACCCTTATTTTCGTCATGGTGTCCTTCAAGTATAGACATCTCATCCATGCATAGCAAAACACTCTCACTGGGCAAATGCCACGTTCTTGAAAAAACAAATCACATCAACGTTTGAGTGGTTACTTGTAAAAAGATAATAGATGATGTCTCAATATGAATCCTGCAGGTGTATGAAGTCCCAAGAAACAGAAACGGAAGAAAAGCGAATTTGTCTCCTATTCAGACCCATTAATTGTAGCTCTCAGTGACATCTGAGATGGAATGGTAGATAATTACGGTACGTCCAAAATTTAATAGATTCGATGCCCAAATGGTTCGTGCTCTACACAAAACCAATTGCTCCTTAGCAAAATATAATAATGAGAACATTTAAGGGTCCAAGCTTTGCGTTGCGTATGGGATTGCTCTGTTTTCCAGTCAGTCTGAAACTATCGTTATAAAATATTGTTTATTGCAGGGACAAAATTCTCCGTTCATTGGATATGCAAAGTTATAATTCTGTCAATATTGACCTTCCCCAATACACGCGCGAAGACAATTTTACGTTTATTTGATTTCGCACAATTTTGCCAAGCCCACGGAGTTTACAGTTTGTGGTAAAGGTCCTTGGCCAAGCCTGATTTTTAAGGTCGATTTTGACTGACCATAATATCTCAGGCGTCTCGTAACATAGATAAATTATTAATGTGTCAAATGATGCAGAATTTATTTAGAATCTAACTTTAAATTGGCATGCTGCATGAGTGTGTACTGCAAGGCTTAAACACAATGATTGGGGTGATTACATTTTCAATTAATTTTTTTTTGGGGGGGTGGCGCCATTTTAAGTAGTCTCCGCTTAAGAACCCAGTGCTCGGGAGCAAGGAACATGCGAGATCATAGAGGCCAACGGGATCTTAGCTGACGCACAAAGGGAATAATCCAAATAGACCAAGGCGCTATATTTACCACCTCGATGGTGACCCATGTTTAGGTCCATAACAGTAAAAATTTTAAGAGTCTCCCTTTACTCTAAAATGAACTTGCGTGACCCCTATTTGAATTTGTGTGTTTATTCAGTGTGTTTGTTCAGTTGGCGAGCAAAGAGTGGTCAAAATGAGGCATCATTTTTACTTATTATCCTGTCGTGAGTCTCAAGATCTACGCTTATTCAGTTGCCCCTCGATCGATCCCCTTCACCTGTCTAAAATTTATATTCTTTCCACCTCTGATCCGTGTTCCCCCACTTTTGTCGTTACGCACCATTACAAGGTAACCAAACCAAGTAAGATTCAGTCTGTCTCGCAAATTCGGGAGTAGAGACAAGACTGCCGCAATTAGTGCAATGATCAGGGAAAAGTCCACAGTTCGATGTGATCCCGCCTGGAGCGAACTTTTAGGTAGCCACCCAGCGAGTGATTAAGTTTAGGTGGAGAGCTGAGGTTGCGAGTGTGGAAAACCAAGGAGCTTTCTGTAACCTCCTTGGGGGAAAACAAACGCGTCGGTCAGTTCACACCCCAGTGTAATCCTATGGGGCAAACATTGAACCGTTTCATCGAGTTTTACACCCCCCCCCCCTGTGATGACAGTCACGAGAGTGGCTGACCTTAATTTAGTTTTAGTAAGGTTTTATGGCGCTCTCAACTGCATAAGGTGCGGATGTCAATCGGCTTACTCTGCTCACCTTTCTAGCCTCAACAACACAAAAACAAGTCGGCAAGGCACTCTGGAAATTATAGTAGTTGTCAGGAGAGTGACAAACGTATAAAAGAAGTAGAGGAAAAAGTAGAGGAAAAATGACGATGGTAAGGAAGAGGAAAGAAAAAGTAGCAGTTCCCATTTGTTCTGGCACAGTAGTATGAGCATGACATTAATGAATCAGCTCATAATTACAATTATTATGAGCATAATAATATTTCATGTTAATACCCCCCCCCCTTCCTATGGGAAAGGCCTAAAGACACTTCAATCAATGGCACTGCTCTGGAGAGGAGCTGATCTTTGACGCGAAGGGGATTTCGAATCAATGATCTCAACTTTTCACTCTTAGTTGATCGGCTGTGCCCGCCTGGGTTTTTGTTCCGTGAATTATTATCTGAAATGCGTGATTTCAGTCGAATGTAGACCTTCAGGGTGAATCAGACGGGATCTCAGGGGTGACTTTTTAGAGTAAAAGTTATATTTTCTTAAAACAGTGGGATCGCAAGCGCGGGGATCTTAAGCAGAGCTAGACTACCTGCACTGTAGCCTATATACGAGGGGGATACCAAAATTTAAAAAAAAAACCTGACCATGAAGAAATAAAGGTAGATAACGCTTACATTTGGGGTGAAAGCCAACAATCATCTTCCTGGAATGCGTGTAAATTTGGGGGAAATTTCCGAATACATGTACTGGTTTTAACACCAGCGCACTGTACTGTAAGTGAATGGGGTGGCGGCTTGTTGTTCTCCATTTTCATAAAAATGGAGAAAATTGAGCACAGGGCAGTAATAAAGTTTTTGTTCGAATAAGGCAAGCAACTATACACGATATTTTTACGGAGATGCATGCCATATATGGAACTGATTGCCCACCCTACGCTGTGATAAAATTTTGGTGTAAAAAATTCAAATGTGGATTCATGGCACAGAATTCTACACTTAGTGTAGAATTCTGTGATTCATGGACATTGGAGATGACCACTGTGTCACTGGGATGGTCGCCTAGTGACAGTGACAGCAACATCCAGAATTCTACACTTATAGAATGGGAACTGTACCACGTGACCTGTGAGGAATTGAAGACCGAAAACAATGGCGTCTTGGGGGCACGATTTATCGTTTTCGGAAGTAACCCTATAGCTTTTAAAGCAAGAGCGGCGTTTACAAACGAGTGAAAAGTGGAACATACTATCCAGTTTGTAATTTTGAGTTACAGAATTCATTGTGCAACTAGAGATTGGAATCAAGGTTTTAAATTGTTGTGTTTTTGGGTGCAACAACAGAAAAAGCAGACATAGAGAGTTTATAAATATAAGATCTACAGAACTGTGAAAAAAGTGTAGAATTCTGTGCAGCAACACCAAAAGAGAATGTACGTTGCCTGAAAGGCGGGGGACAGTCGAACGTTTGAGCAAAGAAACTCGGCTTAGCAATGGACCAGTTAAACGAATCTTTGTGATATTTCTCCAGCTTTTTTATTTTTACGATGGCGAACGACTCATTTACCCCTTATCCTGAAGATGTAATGAAATTAAAATCGAACACCCAGCCTTCTCGGGTAAGGGCTAAAAAATCTTGGAGGTCCCGTGTGCAAGTTCCGCACTTAAAAAATCCCTTAATTGGTGGTCCTAAAATCGACATAGGCTTCGGCCGCCGCGGGACAAAATTCAAAATTAATTCCTAGGGCCTACCAAACATCTAGGCCTACTTCAGTAAGACTTGACCAGAAATCCACGTGAGACTAAGAAACATAAAATACTATTCTATATATAGCTGTTTCCGTGGTCGGCTCCGCTTTTTAAAAAACACAGATTTCGATGGTAAAAAACACCGTCGACATTATATACGAGATCGAAGAATATACCATTAAAAGGTATTCGACAAAACAATGTTGACCTTTATAAGACTTAAAGGTGTCTTCGAGAGAAGCATGAATTCTCATGGGACTGCAGCTAAGTTAGTAACCCATGAAAACAGTGAGGACCATTTGAAAGAATAATAGTAGGCCTATTTAACAGCCTCTCCCACTTTTACTGTTAGATAGTATTTATTCATCACATCATACCGTCAACATTTTTCTATCTCTCTTTCCCAGGATTATACCACCCACCCACCCACCCACGCACACACACACACACACACACACACACACACACACACACACACACACACACACACACACACACACACACACACACACACACACACACACACACACGCGCACGCGCACACACACACACACACACACAATACACTCACCAAACCAAACCAAACGGGGGGGGGCAAGGTCTACTGAAAACAAATAATATGTACATCATGCGGGGTGTTTAGGCTAAATGTCTACTGAAAACAAATAATATGTACATCATGCCTGCTGTTTAGGCTAAATGTTACTTTTTGTTAAAGCTGACAAGTATTCTAGTGAATATTTCCTGTATCTGAAAAGTAACATATTATTACATTCACACTGTCGAAAGAAGTTAACATTTCGCGCAGGTTCATCTTCAGTAAAATTTATTAAAATCATTACGCAGAAAGCAGCGACAGGGCTTATTAGGGCCCGCCTGTTGCCCTTCATTTCGTGGCAAAGGGTTTTAGATCTATATATAACAACAACAACAACAACAACAAGGGAGGCTGTGGCCCTGGCAAAGAGCACGCTCTTCGGGGCTCCAAACATTTCGAACGGATAACACACACACAATAATAATAATAATAATGATATTAATAATAAATAATAATAATAATGAGAGAGAGAGAGAGAGAGAGAGAGAGAGAGAGAGAGAGAGAGAGAGAGAGAGAGAGAGAGAGAGAGAGAGAGAGAGAGAGAGAGAGAGAGAGAGATCAGAGAGAGAGAGAGAGAGAGAGAGAGACAGGCAGAGAGAGAGAGTGAGAGAGAGAGATCAGAGAGAGAGAGAGAGAGAGAGAGAGAGACAGAGAGACAGAGAGAGAGACAGAGAGAGAGAGACAGAGAGAGAGACAGAGAGAGAGAGGGGGGGGGGGGTTGAAGTTGTGGCGGCCATGACAGTGCGAAAACTAGTAGTACAAGTCTATGGTATGTGAATAAAATCACATGACAGACATATCACATGACCAAGTTTGCAAGTTCAGACTGAGGAGTTGGGTAGCTGCTTTGCTGCATCATGTCAATCATGAGTAGCTAAGACAAGTAGCACAGTACTTAGACTTAGATCTACTGCTGCACGATTAAGAAAGCTTAGTGCACTGCTGAGATGAAAGCGGAAGAGGAGCGTTTGAAACCCTAACTTGATGACAGATTCTTTGTCCACTTTTAACATCCGAATGTGTTTATTTATTATAAAAGCAACTTTCAGTTTCAATTAGAGTAAGTCTTAATGACTGTCGGGTCTGTTTCGATTGTTGATGGTTTAAAATGTAATACTGATGAGTTTTTTTAGTCGTAGGAAGAATTCTGAATTAGAAGGGCTGGACTTCCTTGAACTTGAAGATTCAAAATGACAATCGCATAGGCCCGATGTTCTATTAATTTTTCGCTGATCTTTTTCATTTTTTATTTGTTTGGTCTCATGTAGCCTCAATTTTATTTATACATTTTTATATATATTCAACTAGATCTAGATTTCTAGATCTAAATCTAGATCTAGATTTAGATCTAGATCTATAGTCTATAGTACTAGACCAGACCTAAGAGTAAGACAAGTCTAACTTAGTCTAAGTGTAAGACTGCACGTTCAAAGTCAAACCACACCGCACGTCTCACCTCTCATAATATGACAGGAGGTCCTAGGCTGCAGCCTTTACTATTAATTTTGTTATCATGAGTGTATGAGGGTCCCCTGGGGTAGTTATTTAATTATTATTAATGTACAACAACACTATTGATGTGAAGCATCGTGGTGAAATCAGATGCTCGTCAAAATACTTATCAAGGATACACCAGCATTTCCTGCTGGTTTTGGCAATTTTGATATATTTTTTTGGTGCTCAAGTGAAACACCTTTTATGTTCGTTAAAGGACACATTTTTTGTGTGGATTTACTGAAAAACATTGATCAAAGGCACACACATGTATTTTGCAGTTTCCAAAGACTTTCAAACTACGGAAGGCACCACAAACTTTGGCATCCACTTCCTTGTTAATTTTTTTTACTGATGAAACAAAGCAACCCCCTGATCCTCTTTCATTCGCAAATATCTCAACTTCTAGGCCTATTCAAGATAGATGGGTATTTTTTTCATTGAAAGATGTTCAAATAAACAAAGATGATTTTATCAAATTGTGCCTAAATGGTAGCTTTCTCCCATCCATGAAGAACTACTTTTGGCTGACCTGAAATGTTTCAAATGGGCAAAACTTAACTGCAATGGATATTATTAGATGGGTAGAAATCTTTTTACAGGTTTTTATTATTTGTTGATTTCCTATGTCTTTATAGAACAGAATATCTTCATACTCTTTGAAGTCCAGTAAAGTTTGTTTTTTTCTGTTTACAACCCCATTCTTTTTCAGGAAGGTCTAGAGGCTTGAAGATGACAGGTTGTGTTGGGCTTTTGACACTGCTTTGCTTATTACTTGTGTCAGAGTCTGATTCAAGACGTTTCGATTTTGAGGCAGGAGCCTCGATCTCTTTCGATAACAGGCCTGGACTTGGACGTCTGTTTGATGGAATTGGAGGATTAAGTGGTGGAGGGGTAGGCATTTTTTTAAACCTCTAAATTATTCCTTTCTTTAATAGATTTTTTTCCTTTTATTTTAGAAAAGTCTTGTTACAGCCACTCTTTTGGCTCTGATTTGAAATGAATATTATGTGAAATAAATATGGGTTCAAATTAAACATTTATTAGTTTACTATAGCTACTGCTTAGCAACTAGGGTGTGTTTTTCATAACGTTTTATTCCTCTATGTATGTGCTTTAACTGTACCTAATATTATATACCTGTGTGTTAATTTATTTTGCCGTAGGCCCTATCAATTTACAATGTGCCTTTGATGACTCATCTGTTTTCATGTCCAATATGAAATTCCTCCAGCGAGTTCACATTTCCATGTTTTTATCTAGGCAACATCCAAACTGCTTGTCAACTACCCAGCTAAGGAGCGCGACCAGATCTTAGACTACCTCTTTAAGGTAGGCTAATTTGTTGAATGTCATCTAGGTTATCATATATTTTGGTATTTCGATAGACTGTGATGGTTAGGCCTTACCTTTGTAAGATTATGAAAACAGGGAATCCGTAAGTTGTAGTTAAAAAAAATTAATCAGAAAGTTTGTAATCCTATAGATCTAGATCTAGTAGCATTTAAAATTCTCTTACTTCCAAAATTTATGGTTTTTTTGCCAGCAGTTGCATAAAAAACAGGTATTGCTTTTGATGAAGAAGTAGATCTGTTAGCTCTTATAAAACTTTTTTGTTTCATTTAGCATTTCGTAGTTTGGTGTGCACTTTGACTTATTGAAAGTTTCTTTATGTATTGCTCTTTCCTGTACTTGTGTATCAGCGGTAGCGTCATTTCTACTCTGATAATCATTAATAGTTGAGTCACTAGAATTAAGGGTCTGGTCATTACAGTCAACAAGATTATGACGTCTTGAAAGCGCACAAGGGAAGATTAGTTTGGGAGGGGGAGGGAGGGGGGGGGGGGGTAATACAGAAAGTTTGAGGTATTGTGCCTTTGTTCTGGATTTCGACGAGAAGAACTTTCCCTTGTGTGTCAGAAATAAAATAAATTCACATTGAACTTGTGAGCTTGTTACTTGTATCTGTGGAAAAGATAGCCTCAGTTGATATTGCACATTTTGAAAGATGAACCCCAAAATCCTATTACAGTCGAACCTGCCATGACGGCTACCTGTATAATACGGCCACCTGTACAAATGGCCACTTTCCATTTCCCCCTGGCGTTTTTCTGTATAATTTAATGGTGTAAAACGGTCACCTGTCCAACTTGGCCGCTGTCACCTTATTTTATCAACCCACGGTCAAATTTACCTGCCTCAGGTGGCCAGGCATGGTCACTCGTCGCCCAACGCTTTGTCATCAATTTTGAATCGGCCCCTCACGCTGTGGACGGGCCGTCATAATTCATCCACCTGTCGCTATTGTTAGTCCCGCCAATGAATGACTACCTAAGTTGACCAATGGGTAGGCCTAACGATAATTTTCAACTGCTGGTGAGGGTAGCGTGATCTGTCATAACCTATAAGCCGCGCCCACAACTCATGCAGCACACAAATCGTGTGTCAGGTGACTGGTCACTGTTTTGTTTACCTAATCTGTAACAAAGTTACAATGGATGTTGATGTGAACTTGTGATAGTAGTGTCGCTCTTTTACCGAGTGGTGGTGACCCATGTGTTTGTTTTACCATGGTGCTTGGTCTTCACCGTCTTACTTACATAACATTTCATTTATTTTACCCCTGCACAAAATCAGCAACAAAAAGAAAGCTAACCAAAAAACAAACCAACAAAACTACGACAACAAAAACCCTTCTTACACCACCCCCTCCTCTTTTTCAAAAGAAAACAAAACCCCTTTTGAATTAACCTTACAGCAGTCCAAAGATCAGCCCTGGTTTGGACCTCAGAAGAGAATGGTTTGCTTTCTTCATTTTGATCTGTCCTGCCTAAGACAGCCGCTTTTGCTATACGGCCACTTTTTTCCTTGACAATGGGTGGCCGTTTTATACAGGTTTGACTGTATATATATGTGCATTTCACACTCTATTGTTGCTCTTTGATGTATTGAAGTAGTTGTGACAAGAAGGAGAACTTATGTATATTTTCCCTTACTTATCTGTTAAATTTCTTTAAGAAAAGGAGTAATTAACATACCTTTTTGTTGATTGGCATGCATATTATCTAATTCTGCAGCCAAATTTTGGAGCTTCCCTGCAGATTCTTAAAGTGGAAATAGGAGGAGATGCCGAAAGCACTGGTAAGTATTTTTAAACTCCTGTTTTTTTATAGTAAAGTTTACTCATCTAAATGTTGAAGGAAAGTTATAAAAAGTTGTATTTTCCATTATGACATTATTTAAAAATTAATTGCAAAATTTCTGTAGTGATTATGAAATTTGAGAAAAAATCTTGTTGAATGGGGAGGGTAATTATTTTATTATTTAAAAAAACAACACTTATATATATCGGTATATGGAATTTGGAAGAAAGTAAGTCTTTCCTTTGATGAAATTATAGAACATGCTTCTTATTGTTGATCTTAGCTTTTTTTTTGGTGGTAATCTCAGAGACTTGTTTTAAATCAGGTCATGCCTGGTTGTTGTATTGAGGATAGGCTACTTGGATGCTTCAATCATAACTTTTTTTCGCAAAGCCATTGAAACTTCTCTCACCACTTGATTTTACAAGGCAGAGAGAATGACTTGTTTGACCAGCATACACTGTAGAATATTGTTTTATAATATGTATTTGCAATATTTCAATGTTTCAGATGGCACCGAAGCCTCTCATATGCATAACAGCTGGGATGAAAATTACCAACGAGGTTATGAGTGGTGGCTGATGAAAGAAGCTAAAAAAGTATGTCTGTATGTTATATGATTTCAATATAGGATTGTTAGTAACCCTACTCCTACCAATACTTTTTATGCAGATCTCATTTAATTCTTATTCAGTTCTGTTTGGTTAAAAACATAGAGCTTCAGAACCCAAAGCCGCAGTGCTTTTTTATATCTATGTTCCTGAGTTTACCACAACTGTGCGAAGTTAAAAAAAAAAAATCCCCAATGAAAGATCGTTTATTCAAACTTACAGCCTCCATCTTTGTGTGCTTTAAACAGATGATGTACTGAAGAAGTTTTCTCAAGTCTTTTTACTCTTTCCTGGAAAATTTAGGATCAAGCAGAAATTGAAAGTACTGGTATTTTAAAACTGTATTTTTCACACCCAACGGTCATTAAGATACGTGTAATTCTGGAAAATGAATTAATCTTCTGTTTTACAATTACTCTGTTCTTTTGGTAATATGATTGCAAGATGCAGCAAAGTGACTTGCATTAAAGGTATTTCTTTTTATGGTATAGACTGTTTTGTGTAAGACTCCGCCGTGTATGCCATTTTGAAAAGTGATGTATCACAGAGTCTTACCCTGATCGAGTAGTCATTGATATGCATTAATCTCCTGTGGGGGGTGGGGGGTGGGGGGCTCTTGTGGCGTAGAGGTTAAAGTGTTCACCTCTCATGCAATAGGTCCCAGGTGGGATCAGGATAGCGTGGGAAATTTTTCTTCTCTAAAACTGTCTCCTTTCACCTGCTTTCCTGCTCCCGAGCAATGTTCTGTTGTCTGTTTTCGTCTCCACTTTCTGCCCCCACCCCCTCACCTCCTTTGCCCCCTCCTCTCGGCTCCTGACTCTTTCTGCAGCCTTTCTCAGACTGCTGCTCCTTGGCCCCTTACTGCTGTCTTTCAGCCACACCCCTGATCTTATGGTAGGAAAGATTTACACCTAGCCTACTCGGACAAAGGGGAAAAATCTCGGAGGCCCTGTGTGCAAGTTGAGCGCTTTAAAGATCCCTTGGTTGTCCAAAATTGATAACAGTATGCTTCGGCCAACACCCCAGCAAAATTAAAAATTTCCCACCAAATGAAAATGTTTTATGTATCCTGTGCATTCATATAACCTTATGCAGTTGCTAGCACTGTAAAACAATTACCCATAAAATTATAAAATCTCTCCTGTTATTTTCCTTGAACAGAGAAATCCAGATATAAAACTGTATGCGTTACCGTGGGGTTTTCCTGGCTGGATTGGACAAGGCCATAGATCTCCTTGGACCAATGTCAATGTCACTGCAGATTACATCGTCAGATGGATCAATGGAGCTAAAGTTCACCATGACCTGAATATTGACTTTGTTGGGGTGAGTGTTGTGGTCACTTCCTTTTTTATTGTCGTTGTTGCTTTTTTGTTGTTGTATTGTTGAGTTTCTTATCTGTTAAGTTAATAAGGGTGCCACTTTACCAGTTACTTCAGGAATTCTAAACATTTATGGATGGTTCTCATAAAGTTTTTTTTGGTTCTTTGGGGGGGGGGGGGGGGTGATTCTGTGTCCTGCTTCATTAAAAAAAAATAATTTATCATTAAGGCAATCCAGTAAGTGCTGGAATTTTGCTAGGCATTAAAGTGGCTCCCCAAAATGAGCTGTTTCCCTGAGTCAGTATTTCATAAGCATAGTTTGCAAATCATGTCTATTTGTTCTTTTTTTCTCAGCAGCTGAATTTTGTGATTTCATTCTAGATCAATTATGGCCAATGTATGGATTTATAGGATGAGTTGATTTCTTGTTGTTGAGCTCTGCTGATCCTTTAACAGCGCTTTGGCTATTTCAGAGACAAGATTTGAGTCCCAGTCTTGTGTGCTTCTGCCTAAGTAGCGGTACCTCTCGTAAATTGTGCCGTCCTGCTCAGTTCATCTGTCGGCCTTTATAGCTTCTCCTGTAGTGTCAGTGGGGTTGGCCACATTTCCTGTCTCAGGGCCCTGTGTCCTGTAATGCTGAAGGATGTGTTCCACTGTTTGGTCCACCTCTCCACATAGGCTCTCTGTTATAGACTATAGTCACACTATTTTTTTTTCTGTTCTAATTCATAAGAGTCATGTTTAATTGAGATGTGAATGAACTTACAAACTGTTTATTGTGTATATTTGTGTAACAAAGATGTACATCATCTCTGTAGTGAGAAAAATATAGAACTCTGTTTACCCCTGCTTTACAGGGTGAGACAAAAACTTAGGAGTCGCTCATTTTTCTTGCGACAGCGATGGAAAATATAGTCTTTTTCATTTTAAGATGCAACATAAGGCCTATGGATAATGTTAAGTTTGTATAATTTTTCTTTTCTTTGCCTATTCTAGATTTGGAATGAACGCATGTACTCTGTGGACTATATAAAGGTACGGTATTTTCTTGTTTGCAAGTTCTGAAAAATTTGTAACATTGGTTTAATACAAGAATTATCAGTCTTAAGATGTAATGTTTATCGAGTTTTGTTATATATCATCACAATCATTCAAGATTGTAGTATGGTAAATTTTTGAACAAAATGAAAGAAAATCAAGAATGTTGTAGAGTTTGATGAGGTGCATTGTTTGGTACTAGTCTCAGTCTTCTTCTTAAAATAGCAATAGCTTAACTTAACATGAATTAAACAATTATGTATTAACATACATAAGGTCATGCTTGAAATAAAACAGTTTTCTGCTTCTCTAGATTTTTAAAAATATGACAGTGATGAATGATGGGGATGATATGTAATTTTGATTTAAAGGGACTATTGAAAAAATTTGCTTTGCAGGCCTGTGGCCAAAAAATAGTACTTTGATCTCTCAGTTTGTCTTCCTCAAGAGTTTTATACACACTTTGGTAAATAAGGCATAATTATTTGTTGGTGATGTGTCTTGTCTAAAAGCTTTTTGGTTTTGTTTTGTGAAGTGTTTTACGGCGCTCGCAACTGCATAAGGTCATATGAACGCGCGGGACAATCCTAATATTTTCGGTTGGTAGGAAATTTTGAATTTTGCCTGGGTGGCGGCCGAAGCCTACTCTTATTGATTTTAAACCACCAAGGGATCTTTAACATGCGCATCTTGCACACGGGCCCTCCGAGATTTTTCGCCCTTGTCCGAGAAGGCTAGGTGTAGATCTTTCCTACCAGAAGATCAGGGGTGTGGCAGAAAGACAGCAGTAAGGAGGAGCCAAGGAGTAGCAGCAGAAAGGCTGCAGAAAGAGTCAGGAGCTCAGAGGAGGGGGTAAAGGAGGTGAGGGGTGGGGGCAGAAAGTGGAAATGAAAGCAGACAACAGAACATTGCTAGAGAGCAGGAAAGGAGGTGAAAGGAGACAATTTTAGAGAAGAAAATTTTTCAGTCGCTACCTGGATTCGAACCCGGGACCTTTGAGTGAGAGGCCAACACCTTAACCTCTAGGCCCCGAGAGCCCCCAAGCTTTTTGGTTTATTGAACTTCTTGGTTAGACATGGTAAAGAATGACCCTGTTTCTGCGGGGCTTGCAGACTATCACCTAATGTTGCACCTGTGCAAGCAGTTCCAACAACGGCAATAGTAATGGAAAATATAGCATGGTAGTCAACATTAGTGGTTGGACTTATAATCGATGATGATCTTGTTTTTCCTCAGAGATTGCGATCTATGTTAGACGAACGTGGATATCAGAAGACACTCATCATTGCTGCTGATGTTAAGTGGGAAATTGCAAAGGACATTGAGTCGGATGTCGCCTTGAGGAAAGCTGTACATGCTATAGGGTACACATAATGTTTGTTAATATTTATTGATATTATTGTTTGCTATACGTCTAGTGACTTGACAAGGACCTCTTCAATTTTACGGTGTTGAGTGTCTTAGACTCATAAGGCTTGGAGGTGCATAAGTAGTCAATATGTGGGTTTCATACATACACATTTTATTCTTTCATGTTTGTTTATCTTTTTGACTGTACCTGAAGATATTTAGATTTAGAGCACATACACACACACATACACACACACACACACACACACACACACACACACACACACACACACACACACACACACACACACACAAACTCACACATTTTCACACACACACACACACTTACACACACATACACAGATGCACTTATACGAATAGTCACTGGATGGACATACAAAATAATGTTATTTTTGCACATTTGACAATGACTAACAGAATATCTCATATATATATATATATATATATAGATGACCGTATCTGGTACATGTTTTCTATTTTCAGATGTCACTATCCCGGAACGAAGTCCAGTGCCACTGCTGTGTCCTCAGGGAAGCAGCTGTGGTCCTCCGAGGACTATAGCACCTTTAATGATGAAGTTGGTGGTGGCTGCTGGGCAAGGGTAATAATACCCCGCCGTCCGTCAACCCTGATTGTGTTCTTTGATTTCACATACACTCTAGCAAACACGTAGCAAAATCATTGGGATGCGGATATCTTTTCATGATGTAGACATTTCTTTGTGTACATGTTTTAAATATGAAGAATATGCGTGTTTTAGAAATTTTTTTAGACCTGAATACTTGTTTGCCATGTATGTGTTTCGCTATGTGTGTGTTTGCTAGGCTGTATATATAAACCAATACCGGTGCCTACAAACCGCTCACCTATGTTTGAATTGACCCATTTTATGAGAGTTTTGTATGAGTAGGGTCTCCATTAATTAAGTTGTAAGACTGACAGTGGTACTTTTGTGGATTTGATAGTTGGCATAGCCAAGTGAATGGTGTATTCTTAGGCCAAGTACAGTCGAAATAGTCAAAGACTGCCACCCATTGTTGAGTTTCTTTTAGTGTTTTTCACACTACTGATCCTGAGATGGATGTGGTTCAGTACCTTTTCACCTCAGGTGATGCAAGGAAACCCCCCAAAAACGGAGGAGGTCACATGCATACATTGTGGTATGCCGATGGTATCTTGGCAGTTAAATATTGAAGAACAGCAGGTCTTCCCAGGCTGGCTGCTTGTGTAAAATTCTTTATTCCTTCTCAAAATGGTAAAAACTCTGGTCAGTTTGAATAAGAGTGAGTTTCACTACTGGATGAAGAAAGATACTGTTTACTTTTCAAAGATCTATTTGGGGAATGAGGAAGGAGAAGAGAATGAACCTGATGGAAAATGAAAACCTCGCTTAAAATATTTTATTTTAGACCCTGTGGTGCTTGTAAATCTCAAAAGTGAATTTTTTTGTGGTTATAATTACGATTACAAATGACTTTTTGTCTGCAACTTAGACTGTTACATCTTTCTGTTTCAGATCCTAAATCAAAATTACGTGAATGGGCACATGACAGCGTAAGTGTCAGTATAGGTTCATAGGCGTTTTGAACTTTTCTAGCACGCACATTGGAAAATTGATGTGACCCAAAAATCTTTTGTAAATTACAAAGTTTTCTATGTAGATCTATGTATTTTACATACGAAGAATATCAATGTACAGGAAAAAGTTCAGGATTTGAAAATCTATTTGTGAGGCCGCACGTTGGAATCAGGCTCTCGTCAAAATAATCAAAGTGAAGAAACTTGAATTTTTCCGCAGGTTTGTGAATTTTTATCACATTTTTGTTTTTTGGCTCAACACCTTTCAAGCCAATTAAAGAACTCATTTCTGTGTGGATTTTTCTGAAAAGCGTTGATTAAAGGCACAAAATGTAAATTTTCAGTAACTATGGACTATTAAGCTAAGGAAATAACTAATCTTTGGAGGCCATTTTCTCACTAATTTTACCTCTGAAAAAAGGTGACCCCCACTCCTTCTTTCGCATATATCTCAACTTATATTCAAGATAAATGAATATTTTAAAAATCCAAATAAAGACAAGTGAACAAGTTTTAAGATGACTCCAATAACTCTACATGCCCAAAAATTGACGAGAGCCTGATTCCACCACGCTGCCTCACATTTGCTTTGTGTGTGTTCCTCTTGTATGTGTTTCACTATGTGCGTGTTTTGAGATGTGTGTGTTCACTTTGTATGTGTTAGATTGCATGTGTTTGCATTCTTGAGGCAGACTCAAACTTAAGTTTGAATTCTTATGTAGACACTGCCCACACCTGTCTGAAATACAACCCACATTCTCTCTGCAAGCTTCTAGAAAAGAAACTCTTTTCCACAGCATCGACATCATGTTTACACCCTTTACTGACCCCTGGACTGGTGAAACCTTTCCTGTTTATACTCTTTCACAACAATGACTGCCCATTTTTTCAACTTCCTACGAACAAAGCAACCTTCTAATGTTCACATTATTGTGTGCCTAATGGAAGTAAAAGTATTTATTAGTAAATTCTGACTTCTTTCTCGGGCTCTTAGAGACTTTCGTTACTAAAATGAACACAAGGCAACAGCTTAATGTCTCAGTTGAAGAAATGAAGAAATTTAGAATGAGGAGCAAGATGTATGCCCAGCAGTTTTAGATGGGTTGAATGCTAGCTCTGCATTAAAATTTTTGGTAGTATTGTTCGGGTTGAACAGGATAGGGTGAAGGTAGACAGGAACTGTCATCAAGCTGGCTTCGGCTGAAAAGAATGAATGACATTGCAGCATGAGATAACAACAGCAGCATGTTCTTGGATTTAAAAATATTTAGCTATACTTTGTGTCACTGTAACTGTCGGTGGGATTTGTGAGTTTTTTTAGAACAAATAGAACGACTTAAATTTTCTGAAACATAGTCAACAATTTGAAGACATTGTAATTTGTCCCTTCAGAAACCTAGTCAACAATTTGAAGACATAGTAGTTTGTCTTTTGAAAAGGCTACTGTTGAGTAACAAGAGTGTCTATTTGGAAATGAATAATTGTTGCCCAGGAAGGATGCCAGTCAGACCGCACCCTCACCCATGTTTTATCTCCAACCACCAAGGAAAATGACCTTGTCTTGTGCATAGTTGATTTGTTGATTTGTTGGGAGTCCTAATGGTTTTATTCCCAAACCTTTCCATTATAAGCAGCGTCAGTAGGCCTGCACCATGAAATTGTCAACTATTATTTCCGACATAGCTGTATTAATTTGTAACTGTAGTAGAATCACTTTACGTTTGACTCTCAGTCAAAGCATGGGTTATTTCTTAAAGGTGATTTAGTTATCATTAATGTTTCTCACTAATTTAGTTTTAAATAGGTAAGATAAGTAAGACAAATTAATGTGTCTAACGATGGATGTTTGCTGGGCACTCTGATTTAGTTTCTTTTTAGTCGCACTATTGTCTTGATACTGCTAGTTGCAACATGTTATTTGAAAAAATGCTAACTTACCTATAATTACAATTTAACGTGTCCCACTGAAGCCATGAATTTTTCACTCCTGTATCATCTCTGTTTGCAGTACCATATCCTGGAATCTGATAGCAAGCTACTACAAGGGTCTGCCATACTATAGGGATGGTTTGATGACTGCTGTGGAGCCCTGGTCTGGACACTACGAGGTGGAAACGCCAATCTGGATTTCAGGTTAGTATTCATGGTCAATGGAAACCTGAAGATTCCTCAGTATTGGGAAAAGACAGAAGGTTGTTGAAATGCATTTGAACAAATAAAGAAAAGATACTGAGAAAATTGTGGACAGAAAGGGAAATAAATTGGACATCCAGAATGATAATCAGTCAAAAAGAGGTCAGAACTTTTTCTTGGACATCTGTTAAATCACAAAAGGTTTAAATCTCACAGCATTGACATGAAAGTTTAAAGAGAGACTAGTAGAAAATTGTGCTATTATTACTGTCATATGTATAAACTTTTTAGGTGTACATAAAAAAAGATACATTTTCTTCATTCCAAAGAGATTATATCCCTTCTCAGACTGCTCATTTAGCTGGAATATAAATGCAGGCATAGAGGGGCTGCTAAATGTGCAACAAATGTAATGGATTTCCTTTTTTTGTTCTCCAAAATTTCGTTATGCAGCCCACACCACCCAGTTTTCCAGCATTGGTTGGAAGTATCTGAGCCACGGACATGGTGTTGGTCACTTGCCAAAAGGCGGGTCCTATGTCAGCCTGACTGATCCAGCGGTGAAGCAGCTCACTATCGTTATAGAGACCATGGTAAGGCAAGAGCCAGAAAAGGTGTATGATTTTCATGTATAAGAATTGTTTTTCAGCTCAAGAACCAATTTTTATTACGAGTGATTTGTTCTTTATCCCTTGAGCATAAAACCATAAAATGCTTTGTTTTTAGCCAGTTGGGAGGGTAATTAATTGTGTTCTACTCATTTCTTGTTGGTTGGAATTATTTATTTTGGGGAAAATTTATGCGTCTGTGATTCTGTATTAGTGTATTTCAGTACTAATTTCAATTTGGTGTGATATTTGTTTCTCCAGACTCATGATCATTCAAAGTGTATCCGTCCTGCCCTGCCCAAATACAGTGTGGCTCCTCAGAATGTGACTATAGTCTTAGCGGGAAATTTTGTAAGTGAACAAACTGACTCTATGTAGATCTGGTGTGTTTATTTTATAGTTTTTGTCTATTTTGATATTGCTATGATAATTTTTTGTTCTTTTGTTACGATTTTATTAGGCAGTTAACTGCATATCTTTCCTTTTGTTGAGAGAAAACTTCTTTTCCCTCTATTTACTGTCTGCATTTCTAAGTTAATGTGCAAGTCAACTGCATCGACCATATAAAAGCAACCAGTGCAGATACCATAAATGAGAGATGTCGTGATGACTGTAATCACATGATTATTTGCTTGTTTGTTTACATAGTAAGGTTATATTTTCATACCTTCAGCTGGTATCAGAAGGCAAACATGATCCAACACCATGTTTAGGTTTTATTGGTGTATTTTAGAAGCTGAAGGAATGTCTTCATTAGCAGTCAAAATGCAAATACGTAACTGAAGTAAAGAGATAGGTCAAGACAATTTTTAATCTGTCTGTTTGAGGGTGAGTTTTTCCTGAAGCTAACCATGTTGTGTTGTAGTTGGCTGTTAATGCTTTACATCCAAACCGACACTATGTAGATAATTTATTTGTGGTCTGCTTTAACTCTGTCTATGATGGCCTACTTCGGCTGTTGGGGAAACGTCTCTTTAGAAAGATGGACATATCCAATAAAATTAAAATATGAAATAAAAATAAACTGCGTTTTATTGATCCCGGTGGGGAAAGTTGAATTATAATGGCAAACATACATACATAAATACATAATTTGAAATACATACATAAATACACAACATCACACCAATACAAAACAAGGTCACAAACATACCATTGCTGGTCACCACTGTGCAGCATCCTGATTTTGAGCTAGGTTTGTCGTGTCTTGCTCAAGGATACACCCCAGTGACCACCCTTCTGAACCGCATGTCACAGACACTTGCTCGACATTACTTTTGAGTGTGAACTCACTACTCGCTTAGCCACTGGAGCCCCCACTGCCATAACATTTTTTTGTGGGAGGCGAAGAATCTAACTATTCCCCCTCAGTAGCAGATGTTAGGGACTTTGCGATCGAGATCATTAATAAAGGATTTAGAAAAAACTGATATTGTGAGATGAAACGGAGAAATATAATTCTTGGCGCTTATGCTTTCGAAGAACTCATTCTTGGAGCAACAGTCCACTTTTTGATGTCCTTTCATGAAATTCTACCCATCAAAGGCATACAAATCTTACAAATAACATTCACCGCACTTGCAAAGGTAGCATCAATTCCTCAAATGTACACATTATTGCTGGTCGTTGCACTGCAGCTTCCAGCATTTTTCGTCAGTGAGAGTTAAAATTAGTGTCTCTTTGACGAAAATACCCATCTCATAGCCATTGTCACTTGCCATTTCCAAACTTTTACATAATAATATAAGGGAATTCATTCACCAGTCTACCATGACCGTACGAATCTTTTGGTGCAATTTCAGAACAACATCTCACAAATGAATGTATGGTACAGCAAGCTGAAATTTGACGGTTCAAAAAGCATCATGTTTCAGAAGCAGAATCCGCTTAAAGTAAGTATGAACCTTGTTGAATATTGTTGTCCTGAATTATGTTCATGCATTGGTTGAACTTATAACTACCTTGAAAGAAGAAAAGTATTGGCTGAACTTACATTGAGTATTGAGTGAATGGTAACTTGTGTCATCAGTTTGTGGTCAGGCTTCCTGTTTTTTTAGTTTGAGAATAAGATTCAGATACTATGGCTTTTCCTGAAATTCACAGCAACTTTTTTTGGTTCAATGGGTTTTTTTTTTCTTGAAATGTGCATTCCCATTCATGAACAAGATGCCGGCATTAATTTAACATCTAAGACGAGTTGTAAAGTTCCCCTTCTAACTTGTTTCTCTTTTTTTTTGGGGGGGGGGGGGGGGTGATTCTGTGTCCTGCTTCATTAAAAAAAAATAATTTATCATTAAGGCAATCCAGTAAGTGCTGGAATTTTGCTAGGCATTAAAGTGGCTCCCCAAAATGAGCTGTTTCCCTGAGTCAGTATTTCATAAGCATAGTTTGCAAATCATGTCTATTTGTTCTTTTTTTCTCAGCAGCTGAATTTTGTGATTTCATTCTAGATCAATTATGGCCAATGTATGGATTTATAGGATGAGTTGATTTCTTGTTGTTGAGCTCTGCTGATCCTTTAACAGCGCTTTGGCTATTTCAGAGACAAGATTTGAGTCCCAGTCTTGTGTGCTTCTGCCTAAGTAGCGGTACCTCTCGTAAATTGTGCCGTCCTGCTCAGTTCATCTGTCGGCCTTTATAGCTTCTCCTGTAGTGTCAGTGGGGTTGGCCACATTTCCTGTCTCAGGGCCCTGTGTCCTGTAATGCTGAAGGATGTGTTCCACTGTTTGGTCCACCTCTCCACATAGGCTCTCTTTTATAGGCTATAGTCACACTATTTTTTTTCTGTTCTAATTCATAAGAGTCATGTTTAATTGAGATGTGAATGAACTTACAAACTGTTTATTGTGTATATTTGTGTAACAAAGATGTACATCATCTCTGTAGTGAGAAAAATATAGAACTCTGTTTACCCCTGCTATACAGGGTGAGACAAAAACTTAGGAGTCGCTCATTTTTCTTGCGACAGCTATGGAAAATATAGTCTTTTTCATTTTAAGATGCAACATAAGGCCTATGGATAATGTTAAGTTTGTATAATTTTTCTTTTCTTTGCCTATTCTAGATTTGGAATGAACGCATGTACTCTGTGGACTATATAAAGGTACGGTATTTTCTTGTTTGCAAGTTCTGAAAAATTTGTAACATTGGTTTAATACAAGAATTATCAGTCTTAAGATGTAATGTTTATCGAGTTTTGTTATATATCATCACAATCATTCAAGATTGTAGTATGGTAAATTTTTGAACAAAATGAAAGAAAATCAAGAATGTTGTAGAGTTTGATGAGGTGCATTGTTTGGTACTAGTCTCAGTCTTCTTCTTAAAATAGCAATAGCTTAACTTAACATGAATTAAACAATTATGTATTAACATACATAAGGTCATGCTTGAAATAAAACAGTTTTCTGCTTCTCTAGATTTTTAAAAATATGACAGTGATGAATGATGGGGATGATATGTAATTTTGATTTAAAGGGACTATTGAAAAAATTTGCTTTGCAGGCCTGTGGCCAAAAAATAGTACTTTGATCTCTCAGTCTGTCTTCCTCAAGAGTTTTATACACACTTTGGTAAATAAAGCATAATTGTTTGTTGGTGATGTGTCTTGTCTAAAAGCTTTTTGGTTTTGTTTTGTGAAGTGTTTTACGGCGCTCGCAACTGCATAAGGTCATATGA